AGTTTTTACTTTCATTACCCATTCAAGCCGTCTCCAGCCATTATTAGTCTCAAAGTAGGTTCCTCGTCATCGAGTATGAAGTGCCTATGCTAAACCTGGATCTTTCAGCTGCTTTTCTTGCAGCTTCCAACGTGTTAATCATGGCACCTATCCACTACAAAAATCTGCTACTGCATGGCTTGACACTGCTTTGGCAGAAATGGTTTCAACTACTACACAGTGTACAAGATCAGCACATTCTATGGAAGAACAGGATATCACTGTGTAGTGGAATTTTTTGTTTCAGTGTTGCAGACCTGGATGATGCATTATTACAAAAACTCACGATGAAACAGAATGGATGGCAACTGCCTGTTGTAGAGACACAAAGAATACATATACTCATATTCTTGCAGTGTTATTATCCAATGTGCTATTATTCCTTACAGAATTTTAGAGTTCATTAACCATTTCAGCAAAGCATGGCCCATTCAGATGATAGAACTGTTACCATACAAGTAGTGACAATAGTGTTTTACAAATACTACAAATACAAGCAGTTTCTTTTTCATTATATAGTATCTGTATTAATGAGCTATAAAAAATCACGTTACAATCAATCCTGCAACCATGATAACACTGCTTTGATTCCATTATCACTGATGTTAGTGTCTAAGAGGAATTTGCTGTCTTGTCGTGGGTATGTAAGCACTGGAGTCTCCATTAAAACAAACTTTAGGGATTGGAATACTTTTCACATTCCTCATTCCATTCAAACCGTGTCTCAATTTTAGTGAAAGCAGACAATGGTGCTGCTATCTTGGAGAAGTTGGCCACAAAGATATGACACAAAGTGAGGAAACTACAGATTTCTCGCTTGATCACAGGTTGAGGTCAGTTTATCACTACTGCTATCTTAGCAGGAACCTGCAATATGACTGAGAAATTCTATTTGTGTGTGTATTAGCATGTATTTTCCTGTTTTCAGTTACAAGTCTTCACCTGTTGAAATATCACAGGTTTGCATACATGACGAAACACCAAAACATCCTCAATGTAGACCAGGCATCATAAGTGGTGGGACAAATATGAATTGGGAGAGGAAGCCCCACAATTGTAATAACTTATATAAATGTTTTTCTAAAGTTGTACAATTGGACCAGGAAATTTACAATGTATCAAGAATTCCTGTCATTTTCCCTTATAACAACTCTAATAATAGTATGGCTAACTTAGGTCATACAGGGATGATTGGCTATTAATGATTTAATTTTACAGTAGGCCTAAAAACAATACCAAAGCTACACAATGGGCTATCTGTGCGCTGCCCACGGGTACCAAACCCGGTTTCTCGTGTTGTGAGTTCACAGACATACCACTGTCCACTGGGGGGGGGGGTACAGTTCTTGAATTCAAATATATGTGTATACATTCTTGTACCTTATTTTATATACAAATAGAAAGTTCAGTTTTAAAAATCCCTTGCCAGCAACTTTAGGTCTAATTGATACAGTTTTACACTTAAGAATATGAAGAATTGGAACGTTCTTTTAACACTTCTCAGTCATTATGCTGCAGATGTAAGTACCCGGCCATCTCTGGAGTGAGAATTGCCATTCATTGAGACAAGAATGTATATGCACCCATCGCTGGATCTTTGCTATTGCAACTCTCACTGCAGTATTCTCCACTAGTAATTCTACAATGGTGTCCACTGATGTGACTCTCTTGACATCAAAAATGTTTGATATATGAATCCTTCAAATGGTTTGAGATTAAAATCCAGGTCACCTCCATACAGGTTCCATATACTGTCGTTCATCATGACATCTCTGCATTAGCAGCTTGAACAATGCTAGTTTCGATGTCAGCAAGTATCTGCTATTCTTCTTGATCAGAGGCTGTTCAAATCAATTGCACAAGTATTGATGGCTTTGTAATACTGCACCATGTTGCAGTGTTTAGCATTGGTTAACTGATGTTCTACTACATTCCAATGATGGAATCCTCGTGGCACTTTCTTCTGTCTGGGTAAACTTGGTTCTCTGCTAGTGATTTCAGCATTGGCATTTACACATACACAGACTTTGTGAAAATTATTCTCTTGCTGCCGAAGATTTTTCTTAAGACCACTGACACAAGTGCTCATACTCTGAGCCACCTTTGATGGCTTTTTCAAGATGAATGTTGCTTGCTCACACACACTGAAAATATTTTTTGCAAAATCCAGACCAAAAATGCGGTGAAGGTTGGAAATTTATCATCTAGGCTAATTGATGTGTTGCTGTTGCAAACATCACATTTGTTGCACTTGTTGCCGATACAGTTTAAGGTCTCATGTAGGGTTTTGTAGCTGTTGAGCAGGGCAGAGATGGAATTCAGTCTGATTGTATAATGTGTGGGATAGAGCACGTACAGATTTTAGTAGCTCTCATAACCTGCCCCTATGCATTTGTAATCTATCATTCTTTTTTGGTGAATATAGTATGAACACAATTCTTTGAAGAGATAAATTCAAGGTGTGGTTAGGGTAGTGAAGGTGGATTGTTACCGCTGAAGGACACTCGAACTGTGATTTTATACATAATTACCGTGTTTTTACGACTATTCAAAAAGTTCAGCAGATCTACTTTCGCAAGTAGTTCCTTTAACGTAATTGGTGTAAGTGAAATCTTCCATCAAACCATAACCCCTTGTTAATTGGTTGGTAATAGACTATCTTTTGGTAATAATCTGATGGTCTTGCTGTAAGCACCAAAGACGACTAACCCAGAGTGGGTAGAAACAATCTGCATAACTTCAGACTTTTCACATATAATTTTCCACTTGTATATTCTTTTCAAAATACCGTTAGACGTTTTTTGTATGCCATTGCTTCCTCTAATGATGATTTTCAATATAAACACTTGCTGCTTTCTTCAAGCGTTTCGCGTCTGTTCAGCACTGGAACCAATGACTGTTATTTTCCATACTTTTCAGGTCAAGACCTGGAATGTATAGCCAGCTAAGTCATGTAATGTGCTTCGAGTTTATCTCACCCTTATTTGATACCGTGGTTTGCTAGTTAGTATCCACGTTTTTTATAACATTCTTTAGTCTGCTGTATGTCTCTGTGCAAGACGTTAAATGTGAAATAAATTTCTATTTCTTGAAATTATTTGAATACTTAGCATTTGTAGACTAAAAATACGTCACAAACAGTTTCATTGCAGCAAATGTTAATGTCTTGTTCCGAAAAAATTTCACTCCTTATACATGTATATGAATTGACTCTCCACTATACACATTTTCAGCTGTGTAGCATGAATGCAACAATGTAATGAATTATTCTGAACATACATTCATACAACGAGTTATTTATTGTTCCGATTCTGTGAGAGCTTGCAAATGATTTGATCCATGTGAAGGAAACAGACAAGACGAAGATTTTGGATGTAGCTTACATTTTCATCTCCTGACAGTAGATCATAGACATAAAATATTAAGGGCATAAATCATGTGAGAAATGCACGCAGAACATCAAAAACTATAACACAGTAATAAGTATGGTCTCCACAAGACAGACAGTCCACTCTTGTCAGATTATTTCTGTCCTTTCACTCCCAGTTGTCTCATTTTTTTCTTCAGTGCGATGGCATGTCACAGACAGGAAAATTTCTCTGCCTGTCCTTTGATTTTGTCTTGGTGGCTAGCTTTGGTTTTAAATGTAGGCGTTGACGTTTTCTCTCCAGAGCCTCTCTCTTATCTATCAACTTTTTCTTGTATACAGATGCCGATTTCCGCACGTTGTAGCTTAGTTGTTTGTCAACTGGGTCATGGATAGTATCTGACCTTGAGGACATTTGAAAGGCAGTTTCCCTGTTGGACTGCAGCTAATATTTCAAATTCCTCATTTATCTGTAGGTATCCACCTTCATGTTCGGTGAGTTGTTGTCCATTACATCACCCATGATGTTGAATGATGATTCCACCAATGGGTCATGAAAGATACCGAGAGTAACAGTCACCACTTTTGACAGGAACTCATACTTGCCCTTGTCCAGAATGCTGGCCTAGTATTTGTCAACCTTCAGTGTATGATCTAGTAGATCATTGTCCACTTAATAATATTGGACTTCCAGCTTGTATGTCATTCAGCTGATATGGAATGAACTATGGCAGTGCCTTCGGTTCTCGGTAATATTAAGTATGTCTGGATGCCTCTGGGTCAGTGGCTGATAATACCTACAATAGTGGATTATCAAGGGGAAGCTCACCTGGTAAATATCTGCCACATGTCACACATAAGCAGCAAAAGCCTGCTGGATAAACTTTGTCTTCACAACATCATTTCTCCTCCTCTCCTTGAGAATATCTTTCACTGCAATACCTATGAACATGCCTTTCTGTTCAAAATACCGGCCATCATCACATGTCAAGTCCATCTTCTTCAACTACTTAATAGATTTTCCAGTAAAAATCTTTTGTTTCATGTAGCAGGAGAGGAATTGTTTGAAGACCTCTTCTATCTTGTCACGCAGCTTGTGTACCATTGGCTCAGATGTCTGTAATTGCATTGAATAATAAAAATTCATGATGAGCAGTGTTCTCTTGCTCTCATGGCATTCTCTCTATGATCTTCTTGGCTGTCAGCACATTCCCGATTTCATGGATTCTCTCTCGAGACAGTTTCCTGTATACAGTGAGTACTGTCTGGATTTAATTGGACCAATCATCATCTGACAAGAAGGTATAGTAGAACACAACAAGTACGTCCCATACTCTCAGCATACTGAGAGACACATCACACTCTGTGGCATCGTGAACTTTATATTAAGTAGTTCAAAAGCTTCAGATATATAGTCTTTCATGTCTGCTGACCACTTGCAATCATTATGCAGATCAATGAAAAGTTTCTACATCCATCCTTTAAATGGTTTACAGAACACTTTACAGGCATTGTGGATAGGATGGCACATATCACTGTCCATGCCAGCCAATTTAGGGGCATTCGCCTTGAGCCTCTGTTCAAACCCAGATTTGGAGCATTGCATCACTAAGGAAGAGTCCATGAGCATAGAAGCAAGGTTGACCCATGGTATCCTCTTCTCCTCAAACACCTGGACCTGAGCATCTACCTTGATAACCTCCAGAGATATCAGATGTTAAATTACCATCTCTTTTCTAATTTTGCATTACCTGACCAGAATGGCTAAAACTCGTTTATGATTGGCACTCACATTCTCATCTATGTGCACTGAGAATGGAGTTTTACGAATGTTCTTCAGAGTTTGTTTGTTGATCGTCTTTCTCAGTCCATGTTTCATCTTGCAGGACACAATGTTCTATTCCTGAACAGCTCATTCAGGACTTTCTTGTTCTTGGACAGTTCCTCAGCCAGCTCAATGAGGACTAGAGACATCGCCATTGGTAGCGAGTATTTAGCTATGACGGACGACACCATAGCCTGGAAGTAGAGAAGAGATACATACAGAATGTAACACACCAAAAATATTATTAATTGTTCATTGACATTTTTCTAATCACTAACAAATGTTCAGTTGTTTTTCAACTAAAAGTATGGTCACCACAAGATAAGCAATGTTTGTACATTATTCCACCAACATGTTGTGAGATAGCAAATTATAATTTTTATGGTTATGGTTGTGTTTATCATTCGTATATTATTTCTTTCTATCGTTTAGTTTATCTATGAATTTTTAGTTGCATTAAAATGCTAACTCACCTTCTAGCTAACCACGTGTATTCTCAGTAAATATGTATGTATGATGGAACTGACACCAGCTTCGTTAGTGATGACATACTGATACTACTAATGTAGCAGAAGAGTATGTAAATTTATGATCACATGAGACATACTCTCGTGACCTACTCAGTGAATAAATACCCTGTCAGAAGCTTCACTAAGAGAGAGAGAGAGCCACGATACAGTTAGTGAATTATTGGTGTTTATCATTTGATAGTGTTCTTAATATTGAAAGGTATTTTTGTGTTGCTGTATATTTTTGGAATTAGGTTTTTTCTTTCTGGTTCTTTTCTCAGCTCCTCGATATTTATGATATATTGTTCATTAACGTTAGTGTCAAGTCCTGACCAGGCAAGTGTTTATTAGCTTAGTTTAGGTAAATGCTGAATTTATTTCTAAGTGTTGTTATAGTTGAATGAATTGCTTTTTTATTGTTGTTGAACCCTTATTGTAGCAGCATGTTGGTATTTTATACCATTATATTGGCACCCAAACAGGGACCTTTTTCATAAAGTTTGGATTTTGACTTTAGATTGTTTTGTTTCTCAGTTTGATATCGAGTGATAAACAACAATAATTCACTAACTATGTCGTGACTCTCTCTCTCTTAGTGAAACTTCTGAAAACTTATAAATTATGGAACCCTAAAGCTAAAGAAAGAGAAATTGTGAGGTGTGTAATGTCACAATTGCAGTGTATTTACGAGAATACTTGGAATGCCACTTTGTTATATCTGTTGGTGATGTGCTTAAATTTACAAAATAATTCGAGCATCGCTAGAACAATAAACTTTTAATAGTGATTGTTTGTTTGTTTTTGAATTTCGCGCAAAGCTACACGAGGGCTATCTGCACTAGCCATCCCTAATTTAGCAGTGTAAGACTAAAGGGAAGGCAGTTAGTCATCACCACCCACCGCCAACTCTTGGGCTACTTTTTTACCAACGAATAATGAGATTGACCATCACAGTATAACGTCCCCACGGCTGAAAGGGCGAGCATGTTTGGTGGGATGGGGATTCGAACCCGCGACCCTCAGATTGCGAGTCGAGCGCCCTAACTACCTGGCCATGCTGGGCCTTTTAATAGTGAAGTTATTAAAACTGAACGCCTAGTATACATCTGTAATGCATTATCCCAAGAAAATAAAATATGTAAACAGGGAACAAAGAAACAATGGACAGCAGTTGGGAAACGAGAGCAGGGATCAAAGAAGAAGGTTTTGAGTCCCGAGAAAGTAAAACCCTCCATTAACTATTTAATAACAACTTAACGGATCTGCAACACCTAACCCTAAAAATTACTGGCATAAAAGTAGTAGGTTTTATAGATATTGGGTCGGATTATTTTGTACTAATATATAACAACAAATCAAGAGAAATGATCCAACACTTCAACTCAAATCTTTGAATGAGGTAACGTGCCTTCCAGATTAGAATGATCAACTGTCAACTCTTATGATATTTTGAATCAAACAGCATTTGAAACAAATAGCATTGCGGATCAATGTTTTTTTGTCGTCAAAGATTTGGCTGCATCTTGTCTTATTGGATTAGACTTCATTCAGCAAGACGAAGCAACACTTAACTTCTCTTATTCCTGAATTAAATGTGCCAACTGTTAGATATGACTAAAACTGAAAAGATACTGACTGAAGAAGTACAATGTTCACATTTGAAGAGTAAAGACTGTGAACAATTAAAGCAACTTCTGTTGGAATATGTCGATATTTTTAACAATAAACCTGGCCTCACAGATATGTCTCAACATAGTATTGTAATCACGAAAGAAGAGTCAGTGTTTAGTAAACCTTATCGTTATTCTCCCACTAAATTACAAGTGCTTCGTGATGAAGTGGATGAAATGCTTCGTGACTGATTAACTGAACCCTCCACTTCTTCTTGGGCTACTCCAGTAGTTATTGTCAAGAAGAAGACTAATGATTTTAGGTTATGTGTTCACTACAGGAAGTAAAATACAGTCTCAGATATTACTATACTAGTTGCTTTCTATAGCCATGATACACAGCACTGATGCACTAAATTTCATCCACAGAAAATCACATAACACCACTTGTGTATACAGAAGTAGTTATCACCAACATTACATACATTTATGAAGTCCACTGTTCCTTGGCTTGATCTGACTGACGTAACTCCTATGGAACACACTTCGTCAGTTGAACTGGTAAAAACAACCAATAATTTTCATAGTACATCAATCTTGAGGATACCAATGCCAGGTTCGAGGTTGTAGACGACTGCCTTTATTTTGTGAGTGATATTTCCTTGACGCAGCCAGAGATGTCTATTACCAGTCGCCAGAACCAAGTCGGTATCTATTGGTCAGAAAAAGTGGTCTTATTTGGATGGCTTGACATACCACAAATTCTACCAGTCACGTAACCTGTGACACTTATATGAGCAGCTACAAGTACATGAAAGTGTGTTGTACTGTCTCAACCACTGAGATGTGGTTCTAAACCTACGTTGCAGCTAGTGATCCCAGAGCTCTGAGGTAGCAATTTTTTATAAATTTCCATAATGCAAAGATTGGAGGCGACCACAGTATTACACGTATTTGTGCTAATGTTTAATTACTGGTCTACTGGCTGCATTTGAGTCGAGATATTAAGTTGTCATGTTAACATTTTAGGGTATGTGCTGCATAGAGGAAAGGTCAGACTAAATAGGATTAACTCCAACAGAGATTTGTTGTATTTCTTTTAGAGATTAGCTATGGAAATTACTGGTTCTCCCCAAGAAACCGAATGAGGTAATTGTTATATGCTAGTCATTATCAATTGCTTCACTAAGTGAGCTGAAGTTTACCCATTGGTTAATACTTCAGTAGAGTGTGTCACTGATGTCTTCGAGGAACACTAGATCATGTAATTTTGTTTGTTTGTTTGTTATGGATTTTGTGCAAAGCTACATAAGGGCTATCTGCACTAGCCATCCCTAATTTAGCAGCACAAGACTAGAGGGAAGGCAGCTAGTCATCACTACCCACTGCCAACTCTTTTACCAATGAATAGTGGGATTGACCACCACATGATATTGCCCCCATGGCTGAAAGGGCGAGCATGTTCAGTGTGATGGGGATTCGAATCCGCAGATTGCAAGTTGAGCACCTTAACCACCTAGCCATACCAGGCCACTTAATTTTTAACACTCGAAAAAAATCACATGCATCAGGGAGCTAATTTCAATAGCTAGTTATTCTCTGACTTGGATGAACACTTGTGCACATCATGATGGTGTACCATGTTACATGGCAGAGATCGACTGGTTGTTTGGTAAAATACTACTAGTCCATGTAGATGTATGGTCCATGCCTTAGAACAAGTGTGCCAAAGTTTCCACATGTATATGTAGAGTAATTTAGGTCTGCATTGGTTAATGTGAATGAGTTTGTATATCAACAGTTAGGAAAGGCCACCAAATGGTAACTAAAGAGCAAATGTTCCAACATGAAGACTGGGTGTGGCTTTGGTACATACCAACAATACAACTCTGGCTGGACCAGTCTTTCGTATTATACTCCAACAGATCAACTCATTGACATTAGTCATGTGGCACCCATAAGCGTATGAAACACATCAACAAACTAAGACTGTATGTTACAGAAAACCTCTCATGCACCAACTAAATCAGGAATAATAAGTCAGAGAAAGACCCAGCTGATAAGGAGGAAGATGCAGAAAGCACTGATCTTGCTGTAATAGTCAGATGAGGTATAAGATAGTTCTAGTGGTTGCCTAATCACTGTGGTTGGGGTTAACTGCCAGACAAGCAGCTTGGAAGTCACCGATTGTGAGACCAGTAACTGAAAGTAGCATTTTTTGCTTTCCAAGATATTAAGAGGTATTTCACTATGAAATGTATGCATTATATTGTGTAAATGATACTTGATGATTACAAAAGTTAAGATGGTTTGTTGATCAGAAAATTAATGGACTGAAAGGAAGTTGCAATTCTTACTTTATGAGCGATTGAGCAGTTTTGTTGATGGATCTCTACAATATATCAAGTAATAATTGCTCAGTTATTACACACTCAGGATGGCTGGTGCTGTAGATGTAATGCCTAGACAATCTACAACTTGTGCAACCGAGGATAGATAATCACTAAAAGTTTGAAAATGCAGCTGAAAGGTCATTGACAACCTTGATTTCCAAACCATCAAGCAATTTTCTGAAGTGAAATGTCATCAAACATTTTATGAGAATTGTTCACCCTTTCTTGCAGAGTGGAAGAAACTATGTGAAACTTGCTGCTCTCCCCAGTACACTAGAACTGATATGACTCTTTCATGTGATGTGCAGTAAGTTGTGTTCTGTCTGAACACAGAATATGAATCACAATGTTATGAATCTAAATAGAATAGTACTTGTCACACTGAATTTGCCTGTATTTTTATGATGCCATCTATGTATAGTAAATGGGTTGACTCATGTTTGGCAATACAAAATTTTGCTAGGTCAGTTACCTAAGTTGGTGTCCATCTAGAACAGTAATTGTTTTATGTATTTACCTGAGGTGGGTTAGAGCATTTATTGACATATATTGTAGTGACAGCATGAACATTAATTCTGGTCGTTATTTCTTGATATGCAGTTGTCAGTTCTAATTGAGAGTTAAAAATTTTAGCAGCTAAATCATAAATATAAAATTTAACATGTACCTCGTTGAGCGAACACACACACAGATTTTTTACCAGTATATATATGACATACCGTTCAAAGAGGGAAGTTTAATCGCACGGCAACTCTGATTATGATTGGAATGAACAGTACTATTGAGACCAGATCATTTTAATACTTTAATGGAATTTGTTAAACTATTCAAAAAGATGAGTAAGTCAAGGGCTTCAGTTATTTTTTTAAATGAAATAATCATTGATGTAGACAAGAAAGTTATGGAACACAAATTTATTTAATAATTAAAAATAAATGTAAAATACAACTATATGTGTCATTCCCCTTTTACAGTAACAGTGAATTCTATATAAATGACACGTGAACAAAATTTCCCACCAAAGTATAACTTATTAATATAATCCAAAGATCTATTTGACTTTCTTACCTAGCTTTTTTTTGAAATGGAATTCTGCTAATAATTAGCATAGATTTTTTGTCATACAAATTATGAACTATTTTTAATAATATTTTATTGCTATTAAACTGCTTTTCCTTTTTACACTTCAGCATTTTTTTATTTCTTAACAAATACATAGTTAACAGTTCTACATTAATTTCACTTATGTAATATTAATTTAATAAAATATTTAAGTTTAGAACCAACAAATGTCTCAGCTTTTCCAATCAACTTGAGTGTTTCACAAAATCAAGGAAAGGTAATAAATCAGAGAAATGTGTAAGAACAAATTATTGATTTCCAGGTGAGTAAAACATACAAAACAATGTTAATATAAATGGCAGATTTAAACTTTTTTCTGTTTTATAAGTTTTCTGTGATAAAATAACAGTACTTGATTCTAAAAGTATGTACACATACTAACCATACCACTCAACATTAGCAGAAACAAATTCATTAAGAATTGTAGACAGGTACATGTATCATCTCATGAGTTTATAATTCTAGTTTCTTTGAAACTGTTTGGTACAAAGAATTATGCAATTCCAACTAAGCTATACAGGTGGCAGTAATTGAATTACACAAAATTAAAAGATTCCTTCAGTCCAAATGTCCTTTCTTAAATTAAAAAAAGCAATGTCAAAAAGCAAAGCTTTAAGCCTAATGATCTCTTTTAAAATGTACATTGTAGTTATATCCACCTTTTACATTTCACATTGTTTTTGAAGCTGTTTTTTTTTTTTCAGAGGAAGAAACGATAAAGAAACTTAAATTTTTTTGGTGAATAATTAAGTTATAGTAACAAAAGTTTTATATAATTTATGGTTAGAGTTTGACAATTAGTGGAATTTGCTAATCAATTAATCATCATGCTCATTAATTGATGACATACAACTAGTCAATTATTTTCACAAGACTTGAATAGTGCGAAGAATGAGCAACACTAGTTTTCATTAGATGATTATTTTTGTGGCATTGATTTAATTTTAATTTCAATTAATAATTTATTTTACCTGACAGTAATCAATGTAGTAGATATTAATAAGTATTTGACCAATAACCCAGTACCACTCAAGTACATACAGATACGTAGAAAATTCATAAAAGTGGCAAAAACAAGAGTAAGATAAGCCAATTAATATTACTGCTATCAATGATTATTATGTTAAGGTAACAAAATAGATAGCAAATAATAAGACATCCAATTTTTCATGCTTTTTATATAAATAAACGTACATCTTTGTTTTGGAGGAAAGTTCTAAATTAAATAAATAATACATAACCTTTAGTCTGTAGCAAATGTAAGAAACTGTATTTAGTTAAGTTGCATCAAAATCTTTACTGTTAGAATTAATTTACATACGAGGGTGATACAGTAATCAGGCACCAGTTGTTTCAAATGTGCATAATTATTACCATGAAAAGGTAACTTCTGCAAATTCTTACAAAGTTAATGACATCCCAGTCAATTATTGTAACAAAAGAAAAAGACCTTTAGTGAAACATGACAAAGGAAAATCACAGTAAGGGCAAAACTTGGAAAATTCATGGTAGGTGTGACTTTTGCATCATCTTGTATTATAATACTACTTGTATTATATTAATCAAGTTACTTTTCACTAAAAAATCACTACTTTTTTGATGTTTGATGAACAATATCAGAATTATAAGCTGTAAATAAAATTAGTTTTTTTTTTACCACTGAGGAAAAAAATTCTTTTTGCAGTCTCCAAAACTTGCTTTTCAAAAACAAAGTTCCATTTAACAATTCTAGAAAAACATTGCTAGAACACATAAACGTTTGTTTAAATTTGGAATTTATTACAAGCACAAAATTCCAAGAAGCTGCATCAACACTGTACTGGTGAATAGAAAGAAAGGCCTAATGAGTGCTAAGCATTTACTTAATTTCTGCTAATGCAGTGTGACATTTCCATAGTTCATTCCAATGCAGGCTTACATCAATAACAAACAATGGCATTATTACTTTCAGAAACAGTTGTTCAAAATCTAAATCCTAAAATTCTGCCTTTGGTGCTATGAAGAAAGACATTTATATAAGGTTATTCTTACAAATTACTTCCTTTTTGTGATTATCAAAGAACAAAATTTTACAGTTAGAAGGCTTTTAGTACTTTAATTTTAATTACAATAATTTATTTTTGTGTGTGATCTTTTCCAAAGCAGATTGAAGTCCATTAAAGTAAGATTTTGTTTAAATGTATTTAAGGATAAAAGATTCTTCATATGTCAATCTAGGACAACTTGAAGTGTTGTAACATGTTCAATTAGTACTACTTTAAGGAGACAAAACAGTCATATTGAACTTGACTAAAAGAACTGCACAAGTTAAAATATACACAACTTCTATTTCAAATACACTACATTTTCACTGTATAACACACACACACACTTTAGCATATTGTATGTACAAAATAAATATTATAACTAAATGAACCACAACATAAAATTATTTCACAATCTGTTTGAAGGATGTACTAATTATCAACACACATATACATTTGTATTGACCCCTGGATAACTATAATGGATGGAATACTTTTATTTACATATAATTTAATTCTGAAGAATTTACACTATATGAATACTGATCATGATCACTGAGACTGCTATCAAGTTTGTAAAAACTTACTGAAACCATTTTTTTTATCAGTATTGAAACTTTAATTTACACTTTTCAGTATTTGATGGATAAAATAGTGCAATATGCAAATTTTCTGACAGATAGAAGTTTATGTATTTAATTTTCATCCCAAATGTTTACTTTTTATTTGTATTCTCACAGTTGTGTAATTCTTCTTATTTTCCAGGTAATTATATCTTCATTAGGTTTTAAATGTATTCGCTTGTATATAGGGCTTATTAAGCAGAAAGTTATTTTAAAGTAAACCACACTTTGCAATTAGTAACCTTTAAGTAATTCTTTACAACCTGTACTGTATCTTCACAAAGATAAATATATTGGAGAATGCTTGTATTTCATAGGAACTGTGTTGTTTTCAATATGACTCTTGCAATTCATATAGAAATAAAAGACATTCACTGCTATTTTTCTATCTACAGTACCTGAACTAGCTAGATCTGGTCCAATCATAAAGTAGAATGAAGATGTGAATGCAACAATTTTATCTGTAAAAATGTTATTTGTAAGATTTAAAGAAAGAAATATATAAACAAACAGAATACTTTCAACCAAGAGGTCTGAGTGGATGTATTTTTTCCATTTATTTTTGACTATTACGAAGACAATTATAAAAAACTTATTCTTTGTAAAACTGTTTTCAGATCACAAAAGTACACACACACACAGACACACACAAAAACTGCTCAGTTATAAAAATCATAAATGGTCCAAAAAAGCAAGCATTTATAATGTATTCACAACAGAATACATTTAATTTTCAAAAACTAGTTTTCTCCACTTTCATACTGAAATTATACTGTAATAATAGTTTTAGGGTCTGATGCTTTCCCATGTCACTTGGCCACAGAATGGTTCCAGTTCTTTAGCAAGACAAATAAAGTTGGAAATCTTTCATAATCAACCCATCTAGTGGCTATAACTTCATGAAAGGGTTGAATCAAATGTTTAGGCTTCACATAATCAGTCATTGACATTGCAGCTATGAAGCTGGCTCAGAGTGGTTTCACTTCTTTAAGTAATGTTGAAAATATTTCATGTTTAACTCACATAATGGCTGTACTGCATTCAATCAAGTGAAATAACATCTGGAGAAGTTGTGCTGTTTTGTCTACTGAGTTCAGAACCCCATGTTGAATTCACAGACATCTGAAATATAAAAAATAGAATGATAATCATAAAATGGATTCATGTTATCTGTCTTTGTGGACACACCTAGTGAATGGCATTGTATAACTTGTAATTTTCCACAAGCCATCTCTTAATCTTACTTATAATTACAACTGAGCTTTGTCACCAAGATATTTGGGGGAGGGGGGGATTCAAAATTCACACACCCAAAACTAAATAGTTGAGGCAAACCTATGCACATTATACTTTTCACAAATGGTTAATGTTAAGCATAATTTAAGGAAGATGGTTTCACGTGAAAAAAAAAGTTGGCATACCATATGATTTCAACAGAAATGTGTACAACAGTATGAATTATTTACTAGAATTGTTTCAAAAATTATAACTTAAAACAGCCATCATAAATAAGAATACATATTTCACAAAATTTAACATGAAAATATGATCACATAAATTATGTTCAATGTAAGTACTCATTAAGTATAAAAAGTTCTGTTTTATTCATTCTTAACAATGAAATAGTTCTAGAGATTATAAGATATTCACATGTGAAGAACCTTTCTTTTTTGATGTGAGTTAAGTTTCTAGAAGGTAACAGTAGATGACTTACCTCAGAGAAGGAAGAAGCAAACTGCAAGATAACAATGGTAGCTTATTTTTACCATCACATTTTATTAAAGTACAATTGAATACCTTATATTTTACTGATCATTATGGGGCCTTAAGCATGTAAAAAAATATGACAATTATGAAATATACAAGAAAATCAAACAAGTCTTTGAAAAAATTACTAGTGCAAAATCACTAGATATTACCTTTTAATGTTTAAAGTCATACAGGAATAATAAAAAAAAATACAGAAACTTGGTATACACATCCCATAAAGTCAAACTAATTGTATCAGGCTAACCAAAGCTATAATTTCTTTTCAGGATCATTGTGCTACTATAATAAGAGTAAATAGACATAAAAATTGACATTTTTTTGCACAATGAACAATAAATTTTTTATTATTATTAGTTATAGCCAAATAGGTTTGGCAACATAGTTACCATCATCAGGGCTAGTGTTTACAGTGTTGGCTTAGCCTATATTCAGCTACAGCTGTGAATGTGTAAGTTCATTTTGAAAAACAAAATCAGGAAACACGGGGGAGGAAGGTAAATGAGTAATCTTGTAAATAATCCCTTATTCATGATTACCTTCCTCCCCTGATGATGGTAATTGTGTTATCAAAACTTGTCAGCTTTAACTAATAATAAAAAGTTGGTGCTACTGTAGTGTGCAGTCTATAAGGATATTTATACAGATACAATGATCATCACTGTTTTAATGATTCACTAAAACATAATTTCTTGCTAAATAATAATAATTTAATAAGTTGTGTGTTATAAAAGAGTTCCTTAAACTTAGGTTATGATTGTGCTAGTTTTGATTGCTGGAATTTATTTCATTCCGATTATATTTGCCCCAAAAACGTTATGTAATGGTATTTTATATTTTATTAGTTTAAAAGCATTATTTATAATAAATGGTGCCAACTACAAATAAACAAAAGTTAAAACAGTGAGAATGATAGTATCTGTGTAGATTGCATGCTATATTACCACCAAAGATTTTATTTTAATTGTACCATAAAATGTTTTTTTTGTTTTTACTTTTAATAACCAAACCTAATCACTGTGGTGTATTGCTTTTCAGGATGAATAGTGTTCATGTGGCACAGATGTGAAAAAGGTTAACAAATGAAACTCCAAATATCATTAATGGCAACATATTATGCATTGAAGGAAAAAGAAAAAAGGTAATGTTAATTTCATTTAATAATTTTCAACTTTTCATTATAATGTACATTGATCATTTAACTACAGTTACTTGTAGGGTAGAGAAAATAAGAGATAAAATATCAAGTTTTTACCAGAAAAATCTTTTGACCTTTTTTAAGATGTTCTAGAGGTTACACAAATTAAATATGAAAACTGTAAGATGAAAATAAGAATTTTTAATCTCAGCATGAAAATCACCTTGCACTTACATTGACTCAGTAAAAGTTAAAAAATTCACAGACAAATCTTTAGTTATTATAGTCTCTTCCTCCTGTTTAATATGTATAATTATTATAAAAAATGAAGGCTCAGTACAGTATTCCTATAAGAACTTGACAAATCAGTTATGGTAACTTATATAATGGATGCTTTTTGTTTATGCTGGTCAATGGGAAGAGCCTTTTTTTCTATTTCTAGCTTGTAACAGTACTATAGAATTTCGTGGCAACAGACATTAATCGAGGAAGTAACTGATCTTACTATAATTTACATAGCAAGTATCTAGTTATGTGACCAAAATAATAAATACAATGTGGCGCCATCTATTGAATGACACCACAAACAAAAATCAATAAAAACATTTCACACTATGGGTATTCAAGACTCAGACAATTACAAAAATAACTACAGTATCTGCAACAACCATCTCTTTATCACAGAAAACAAAACAATTTTAAATAAAAGTACTCTTCTCACAACAAGAATGCAACTTTCACTCGGACTGTATGTGAGGGTTTGCTTATATCTTTATTGATGTAATTTGTAAATTTATGCACTAAAAATGGTGTTCTTAGAAAAGCTTATTTTTTCAATAAAGGGTACCACTTTTAATATATAAAAACATTACCATTTATATCAACATAATCTGAATGCTTTTCCATTGCAGTACTTCCCAGAAAAATCATTTTTTTAGAAAATGTTTGCTTTTATTTTAAATGAGATATAAATACTAGCAAAAACAGCCATTTCTGCTTGTAGCATTAATTGGACTTTTTTACCCTGTTTACAACTTAGGACATTGAAACTATATAATGGACCTTGGAATTGTATGTAGATTGTGTCTACATAACACAGACCATGTATATGTTGGGCTATTGTATATGTTAGACATATCAAAATGGTTGTTCCACAAAATGTAGTTTCATGTATAAAAGTTATAGTAGAATCTAAACTAAAAGAGTATACATCTTTCTATTTGGGAATATCTACTACATGCTATATTTTGCTGTATAACCAGCATCTACTTATGTTTGATATAGCACAAATAAAGATTTTGTAATTAGATGATCCCAACAGTGTTCTACTCTGGAAATTAGAGAACAGTCATTTAACCTTTGAATTCTGGTGATGTTTTCCATTAATCCCTGTTTCTGTGAAGCTATAAATAGCAATGTTTACTATATTTATGCATTTACTAAGTGTGTCTTCACAAAATATAACAAGCTTCCAATAAACATTACAAGTATTTTGTAAACAAAAAAAAATCATTTTTTTAAATAAAGTACTGATATATATATACTCAATAGTCTTTTTAAGGTAAAGATTTATATTTTGTCTGCTATTTTCTCTAATTAACACTAACTGTACCTAAATCATCAGAGTACAGTGACACAAAATTTTCAAAATTATGAAATAAAATGAAGAAACCCTCTTCTTCTTTCAATAAGTAATTTTTGTTTTCACAACTTAAGTTCACATTATGCACAATTTCAACTATCTTTTTATATATAGTTTATTTCCAATTTTACCTGGCTTGTAGGACATACATTTAATTATGTCTGAAGAGAACATATCTCTGTGGTAAGCCATTAGCAGATTGCTATGTACCAACCTACTGCACACTTGAAGTTCTGCACTTGTTACCACGACAACTAGGCCTTGTTAAAATTTTCTCTAACTTCTTTAATGAATAAAACTATACACCTTTCGAAAATGCATTTTAAAACATAATTCACTAAAATAATGTCCCAAAACAATTATTATTCTACTGTCTAACTAAGATATAGCAAAGATAAAAAACAGTTGAATGAGCACTAAACATTTTCTTACCAACATGTTATACAATCAATATGTCTATTGCCACCAATTTCAAAATGATTTTCAAGCTTGATACTGAAAATCAGCTGTTTATATTGGTTATAAACAAGTACATCCAGGAACGTCAAGAGCCAGCATGGGCCCCGAGGCAAACATACTCGCCGGGCCCCCTTTCTCTCTCTCTCTTTTTTAACACTTTCAAGAATTTATTAAAAAGAAGATCCTAAATTAGGACAGCAATGAGCTCATAAACCAGACAAAATCATAGCAGCAGCCATTTTTACCTCACAGTATAAGCGTAAAAACGTTAATAAAATAACAACAAATATCTATTAAATCTATAAAGTAACAAATACATATTAATCAAATTATTATTTCAGTTGTTCTTAATGTATTAAGTGTCTATATGCACAGAAAAGCCAAAAACTATGGTTTTTATCATTAAATGAAGATATAGCCTAAAGATGCTTTGCAGGCTTTACAGCACAACCAGGTTTCATTTGCCCAGGCCCCTGGGCAGTTGCCCCCTTTGTTATTGAGACCCCTAACACAGCTCCCTAAATTTGTATGTAGATATCAAGTGGGATCAGTACTTGCCACTTTTACAAATATATTTTTTTCTAAGCACAGATCTGCAAAAATAACACTGAACAGTCCAAGGTTGTATGTGAATACAATTATGCCACTACTTTTAAGCCTTTCAGAAGAATGGCAGATTCTGTGGCACACAACTGTAACTCTAAACAACAATTCGAGATAACAGGTTATGACAAACTTAGAGATTTAAAGGTAATACTAACCTGTTGTTCACTGTCACTGTTGTGAAGCATGGAATAAATGTCTTGATAATCTGAAATATGATTACATTATGAGTAAACACAGTATTAATTCCTTCAATATTACATACAAGTTCTCATTCTTTAACTTTATCTGCTAGAGAAACAAACTTTCTTGCACTCATTATTAGCATTTAATAATTGGATAAGATCACATGTATATGATATATGTATAAATTGGCTAGAAAAGAATATACAGTCAAAAGTTACACGTACCTTAATAAGATAATGGATACTTTATAAGAAGTATTGGTTATATAACCTTGTACAATGGTTCATAACGATGTATTTACATTAGCAGGGTAAACACAAAAACAGTGCAGATGCTGGTACAAAAGATGACAGGAGCAATACTCAAGATTTACCAGAGTACACCTGTATCACCAACAGAGTAATTTTTTCATGTTAATGAGTCAATATTAATCAATGGTTTGGATTACAAAGCATAATTATTTCACATTTTGAGATACTTGTCTACTTTAAGAAATACTTTAATATACAAATATTATCAGGTTTCCTTGTTTTTTGATATAGAGTAGTAAAATAAATTTGGGCAAAAGCAAATTTTGTCACTTATTATGTGGGTTGTAAATAGTTTAAGTTGAATGTCCAGTAGTTTTTTTATAGCAAATCACTCAGTTTGTAGACACATTTGTACAACAGTAATGAGGGATAAGCTTCTACATATCTGCAACATTGTCAGATATATTGCTACAGAAACAATGTGTGTTAGTAAAAATAGACTACAAATACACAACAAGCGCATGTACAGTAATAACACAGAAACTGTATGTATTTTGGTAGACAAAGACCACAGGAAGCAAAGAAAAAAAAACTGTAGTGAAGGCTACAGAAACAATACATACTTTGGTAGGATAAAATTATGGTGATGACACAACTTACAGAAACAATAAAATTACTGATAATATAAAAATACAGATAACTATATTGTTGGGTAGGAATTGTGAAAAACAAAATAAAACTTTTTAAGATATACTGCTTCAAATAACAAAAATACTGGTAGAATAGGCCTAGGAACAAACATAGTGTGAAGATACAACTACAGAATCCATGCACAAATTATTTAGGTAGAATTTTAACTGAGCTCAATATTAATAGAATAAAACTAGAATCAATGCTGAGAATAATAAGCATACAGAAACAAAACATACAATGATACATTGTATGGTATAATAAAAAGGATGAAAATCAGATTGTAATGGAAATATGTGGATATAACATAAATGTCTTGATAATCTGAAATATGGTTACATTATGAGCAAATACAGTATTAATTCCTTCAATATAACAAACAAGTCTTCATTTTTTAACTTTATCTGCTAGGGAAACAAACTTTGTTGCATTTGTTATTAATGTTTAATAATTGGGTAAGGTCACATGTATATGATATAGATATAAATTGGCTTGAACAGATTATACAGAGAACATTAAATGGTCTGCTCAAAAAGTAAAAAGTTAATTTCCCATAAATAATATACTTTTCACAGTATTTTTGAATAAAATTTTACACATGTGAGTTAAATAAAAATTGGACACATTAAAAATACTGTGGAAGGTAAGATGTCTATGAACATTACAGATATAATAGAAAATATTTACAAATTACCTTACAATAGTGCTACATTACACTGAGACTTTGTAAAAGAGGGGGGTTGAGTACATTATATTACAATGATTTTAGAGTTTCACCACATCATTACAGTCTACGTCGTCACATCCAGTCGGACTCTATCTGATGACAGTGCATCTAAAAAATAGCCCTGCAGCATAGTTTCCATTACAAAGAGCCTCGTTATAAGGCTATTATGTTCAAAGCACGCATGCATACACACACACACACACACCTACCTAATAGCTATCTATGATCCATCTAGTGTACAAGGACTATGAATTCCCAGCACCCATTTTAACAGAAACCCATATTGTGTTGCATCTAGCAGTTTGGACAGTACATCTTCCTATGGAAATGCATGAATACTAACATAATTTCCAGCTGCTTGAGGAATGCAATGTACAAATGGAAGGTATGATTGGAAACCTTATCTTAGTGAACTCATATCCTGTTAGCCTGATGTCCAGACAGAGGTCCTTCTTGATTATACTGTGCATTGTTCCCTAGAAGGTGTGGACAGATTTGTCACTTATCTTTGTGTCAGTGGATTCTCACCTGTATCAAGAAGTTACACTTTGCCTACCATGGCTCGGATACGACTTGTTACAAATCTCTTTCAGGATGATTTTGTGGATCAAGTTGATCATTATTTCTTTATTGTTTATTAAGTGTAAGGGATATTCCTGTCTTAGAAATTCTAAATCCCAGATCTGAACACATCTTTAAGATGTAAGTGTATAAATTTTATGCAGTGGAAAACACTGTTACAAAAGGAATCAATTTTTGGTAGCATCACACAACAAATGAAATGCCACACATTGTCAAAATGTAGTTCTGACACATGCTCTTCCACTGCAAATTGATATTAACTGTGGTTGTTACGTGACTGGCAGACTTGAATAATAAAAATAATTTTAATACAATTTTCTCAACCCTATATTCACCCCTGTGCAGTTCACAAATTAATTGAAAATATATTTTGCAAAATTTGTTCATTTACTATCCAATATTTATTACTTTTCAACTTAAGTATGGGCATGCACACACACACACACACACACATATAAGTTATAAGAGTAACATAGCTACTTGTTTGTTGCTTATCCTTGCTACAAGCTGTTACCAATAAATGAGGCATCAGATAAAGCCCAATTTAAACAGTTAATAAAAATAAAATCTCAACTTTTTTCTATTACTGCTAGCCAAATCCACCCTTGGGACATTTAACCCTTTCCACTCTATTTTTTCATGTTTATACAGGGACAAAATGACAACATTGAGTTTTGAAAAATTCTATGTGATATCTCATCTCAAATTTACAAAATTATAACTTAAATGCTGAGATTTTAAGTTTCCTTTTTATAAATGTTTTATTAACAACTGTTTTCCATAAAGTAACTTAAAGAATCTAAACTGATAGCCCTAATGGAAAACAATAATCTCCACTTTTTGAAAGAAAGGTCACATTTTTATGGAATCTTAGTAATAAAAAGTTAAAACTTGAGACCACTGTTTGAAAATAAACTGTATAATACTATCTATGTAATGTAACAGGTTATATTTTATTATAAATTGTAAACTGATAAGCAAATGTTAAAATACATACACTAATACAAAAAAATAAACAAACAAAAAGTGGTATTTAAGAATACAGAAAATATTACATACGTTGGTAGGATAACATTTGTTCTGAAGATGTTGTAAGGTACTCTGGATATGGACTGGACACTGGTGGATAATCATTAATATAAGAAACATTAGGATATCCATTACTACTTTGGGTTAGGGGCTGGTTTGAAGATGGAGTGTCTGTTAGCATACTGACCCTGAAAGTCATGTAAAAAATACATGTATATTCATATTGAAATTAAATATCTAGTACTAAGTAAAAAATACTGAGATTATTAACACAAAACATAAAGCCCAAAAAATTCATTAAATGGCCACTTAAAGATCTAAAAAGCAAAATATCCTCTTACAGTCTCAAAATTGCTTTGTTACAGCTTTATAAACAATTCCAAACATTCAGAGTCAGAAAATAGACATCCAACAGAAGCTCAATATAGGTGAAGCTGTAGGAAAGAGGAAATGTGTTTTAGATAAAAATGGATTTACCCAATGAACTTTTTAGCAACAAGCTACCGTACATATGGGGTACATACATCTTGATTATGGCTGTATCTAATTCACTCTAGTGACAGACAGACAATAAATATTCTTGTTATGCTATGCAGAATAATAAAAAAACTTCAAGTTCTTTCTTTAACCCTAGAATGTCTGACTGTATACTAAACCTGTATACTAAATTAACCACACTGGTGTTCTAGAGTTACAACTACAATACTTACAAGGTAGATGAAGGTGTTGAAGTCACTGGTCTTGAATTGTTTTCTACAGAATAAGATTTTTGGAAGAGCTGGTTTGAGTACTGCTGGGACCTATGCATCCCTCCATTGGATGTTGAGCTGCTCAATGATCCTTGTTGAGAAGTCACACTGGATACCAAAGAGTGAGATGAAGATGTTACATGAGATGGTAATAACAAGGATAGAACATCATTAGAAGATGATACAGAAAGTGTTGAAGCTGGTTTTACTGGCTGTGTTATAGTTTGGGCTCGTGAGACAGAGGGCTGGTAGTCGTCATCTTCATCAGAGCTACTGTCAACTGTGAGATCAATGACTTCAGACGTACGCCGTTTCTTTGCTGGTATTGGAGCTACATACATGTATAGGTATAAAAAAGAAAAACCCATCATTCTAATGTTTTTCATTGTGCTTGGAGGTAGCTGTCATGATTTTAACAGTTATATATACTATGAAAGTAGACAAAATATGTAAACTAATTTAAACATAATCTTATGCAAAAACCTAAAGAAAAGTTTTGTTTTATAAGGGTAAATTACTTAAAAGAAAATGTTATTATAAGAAGTAATTATTAACAGAAAATCAGAAGATCAATAGTGAATCAGATTTTCTTTTCCAAGCAACAAAAAGAATATAAGCACATAATCATTCGTAATTTTGAGCTGACAGAATAGGGGAAAGGCAGCTAGTCAATAGTGCTTACTGTCAACTCTTGAGCTACTCTTAACTGACTAAATACTGGGATTTGACCACAATTTTTATTGCTGTGATATGTATACATAATATCTATTACCTTCTTTAGTTAGAAAGGCAAACATTTCAAGTTCATAAACAATTTAATTTTTTTTTGTATGTACACATTTCTAACAGTGTGTGTAGTTTTAACAATAGAACATTGATCAAGGAACATGTACAAGTTCCTTTCATTCTAGTTACTTATTGTTCAGATCATTCCTCAATGGTATTATGTGTGACTTTTTTATGGAAAAGATTGCTGTAATGTAGAATACATTATACACTGCAAGACATACAATGATCTCTTTCTTCACTGGTGAGTCAGCGGATACCTTAAGGGTTACACATCCTTATAAGAATATCCATCAGTAACATAACATTTGCACAGAGGGATGGCATTACAGAATGTTTTATGTACAACTATTCTCCATGGACTGGAACAGGATTTAGATACAGATCAACCACTAGACTGATCTATGGCCAGACCAACTAAATTTACTGTCATTAATCCTGTCTGCTTGTCTGTTTGATTGATTTGGGTAAATAAAGAATACTTTTTCATTTTTAGATTATGTTTGGTCTCTTTCTTCAACTTAGAGATCTCAAGACTTGCTCTCCATAATGCATTTTATTTCTTCAAAACTTATTATCTGTGGGATATCATCTTAAAATAACTCGGTGTAAATGAAAATACCATCCAGCACACCCACAGCCCTAAAGTGCAGAGTGTGTTATCTTGATAATGGGGCATGAACCATGAACCTTAAGTCTGAGTTTACTATCCACAAGACTACACCCAGCCAACACAGACAGATACTGAACTATGGTATATACTGTAGAACCTCAACACCCTTCCGACTGCATGCAAATGCCCTCTACAGCAAGGTGCCCTTAACATCAAAAATGAGTCACGCAAAGCTGGATTCCATATTGACCATACTAAATTTCTGAATTTTAAAGCCCCCCAATTTGTTTGGTGTATGCATTTAAAGCTACTTTTGTTACATGTATGTAAGCAGTGTTCCTGTGTACACTGTAAAAATATTAAATAAATGGAACAAAAAAATATGCAATTTTTAAATTTATTTCTATTCCACAGGTATGAAAATGCTTAAATTTTAACTATTTATAATAAAAGATAGAAGAATGAATAAAAAATACTTTGAAAAACAAAGATTTGGAGTACTTAGAGTGTTATGAGTAATAGTAAAGCCTGTAGTCGATATATTAGTTGCTGATGATGAGGTATTGTCTAGTTCGTGTATTTTGCCAAACCATCAAAGGTGTGCCTCACATACATTGAATCTTGTTGCTACTACTGATAAAGATAAAACTTTAAATAATGCTCATATAAAAAAGTGTCTTGATCAGCAATAGCAAAAGCTCAAACCCTAAAGAATAAACAAAACAGAAGCACTGTAGCTGCCAACACAATTGTGAAAGAAATAGGGGATGTTTGATTGTTCCTTGTCTAACTCATTGAAATTCAATGTTTGATGCCCTAAGTCACGTAGGTAAGTTAATACCTAGAAGTGAGCACATGACCAAGCATTGGACCGAGTTTTTGATCAACTGGGCATCGTCCAGCTGAGAAATTTGTATTTCAGGATATGTTCAAGTAATGAGAACTATTACTAGAGCACTTGACATCTTGCAGTTTGAGAACAACAACTTATGGAACTACTGATTCCAACCTTGTGTTTTTGTAGCTATATTGGGCAATTTGAACAATAAAAAGTTGCAAATTTGTAAACCCCTAGTTGAAGCATTAATTCAAAGGATAGAAACTTTGACAACTCGCTCAACGATGATGATTCAATTGTTTTGGCATGTTTTTATCCTGGCTTCCAGAAAATTGGAAGGTACAAAGAATGATCACAAAGATAGAAGAACACACAATACAATATGGTACAGAGTAGCCTAATCAAGATAGTTTGACAGAAACAGAAGATGAATATTTCAGATGCCTGCAAACAAAGGGGCCAAAAAGTACTGGACATATTCAATTCTCTATGCCATGTGACCTTGTTCTCTTTGAATTGCCCAATTAAATATTATTCACATTCCTATTTCAGCTTCTGAGTTTTAACCCTTTCATTACGGGTTGGGTGAATTCCATCCAGCTCATAACCACGAAAGTATCCATGAGAATAATTATACTATGATGTTTAATAATGTGTGCCCATCTTTACAAAATTTTGCAGGTTATTGGTAAACATTATAAGGTTTTCGTACACAAAACATCAGATATTTGAATTAAATATTACGATTTTTTTAATTACGCATTTTTCTTGTAAGCCTTTTTTCTTTCAAAATGTTGACTATCCAAAATGCAAAGCAATTTTGATTATAAGATTATATATACTTTAATGCATTAGAAAATTTTCAAATTTCACATACGAAATCTTTATAATCTCCAAATAATTAAAAATTTTTTAAAAATATTTTTTATTTGTTATTTTCATTGGTATATTTCTGTATGGCTTGGTTCAATATGACCAACTTCGCAACGTCAAAAAAAAATTTAGGAAAAAAATATAAATTATGCTTTTTTCATTCTTGATGGACTACAAATTATAACACGAAAACACAAATTTCTAGTCTAAATTGCTTAAGTCTCATAATGTTATACATTTATATACATATATTTATTATTTTTATTATATTGACCTTCCAGCCGTGCCTGGCTGACAATACAAAAATTACAATGACGTGGTGCACATACACTCATGTTAGCATATCCAATAATATATAACTGACCTTTAGTCTTTACAAAGAGACCTGTCTTGGATGTGTTTTAGTGGACTAGTATTTTGTAAATACAGTCACATTTCAACTATTATACATTATATACATATATACATTATTTATATTTACAAATAAGTTCTTACACCTGTTTTTCTTTAAACATAGAACAGTAAATAAAGAAGTAAAGCAAACAATTATATTTTCTAGTTACGACCTTTGTACTCATTTGCCACTTGTCATAGGTTGCTAAGCTTTATGAAATTTTCCACATGGAGGATGTAAAAAAGAATTTTTTTTTAGGTTTTTATACATACATCTTAAATAACCAAAAAATCATAAATTACTATATTGATACCATAGAATTCCACTATAATTTACCATGTGTAGTAACTAAGCTGTATTAGGGTCTAAAAAATATGAAATTTCAAGCTCACTAAAGACTTATCTCGTTATTTGAAATATTGTGTGAAAAGAAAGAAATGGCACTAGTTAAGTTAGAAAGGCTGAGAAAATCACAAGGGAGACATTCTGAGCTTCCAGGGAAGGAATGCCAGATCCGGATAACAAAAAGCATATAAGAAATGGTAAAGGATGGTATAAACATCGGAATGACAAAGACCACATGCCATGAGGGGAAGGACTGAGGTTGTAAGAGAAATATCTTACAAGAAACAAATTGCAATGGGTTCAAAGGAAGAACTAGACAGGATAGAAAGAACAACATGGAGATCCCAATCAAGCAGAACAAAGAAAAAAGTTGGATAGACCAGATGAAAGAAATGGAACAATCTGGGGAAGAGAGGAGAGATTTCGACAGGGCAGCTCTATAAAGAGCAACAATTGAAACAGACAAACCCTGAACAAACAACCAGATGAAGAGCTGGGACATGTGAGGAACAGAAGTAAAGGAGGATGGAAGCTCTGGGAAAAAAACAAAGCCTGAAGCAAAACTTCCGCCTCTAGTATGCAGACAAAGAGGAAGGGTGAAAAGTGTAGGCAGTAAAAGATGTAACACAAGCTGAGGCACAGGATCGAGATAAAAGACACACGGAAAGATAGAGTAGGTTATGTTGGGATGAAAAACGACCAATCGAGTTGGATAGAGGACCGAACAGGACAGAGAAAAGGGCAGGGTTTGTTGCTCCATGAAGAGCCAGAGCAGAGGGATCTATGTCGGAGCCAGCCAATTTGGAGCAACCAACAGAATACAAAAAGGAGGGGTCTAGATAAGAGAAAAGACCCAGAAGAGAAGGAGTCTGAACAGAGGGTAGGCATATAGGGGCGAGTCCCTAAGCCAAGACACGTGACTGGACAAAAGTCACTCTGAAAGAAGGAATATGGACAGGACAGAGAAAATGATAAGGTGTATTGCTCCAGTAAGGGCCAGAGAAGAGGGAACCACATCTGAGTGGCCAATACAGAAGAATCAGTAGAACACAACAAGGTTTGGTCTAGATAATGGAAAAGACCCAGATGAGTCAAATAAGAGGGTAAGCATATAGGTGAAGACCACTGCGATCTTGACTGAAAGCATCTATCTGCACAGCTGAAGGGTGAGGAACTGAAGACTAAAAGGAAGAAAGTGTGGCATACCAGTGAATGGGGAACACAAATATGCAGTGTTTCCAGTTAAGAACACACTCACAGAAAAACATGAGGATGAAGAGACCACTCTGTATAGAACCTGGTGAGGACGAGATAAGAGATTGGCCACAAGAATCAGAACTTGGCGAAAAATACTGCCAGAATATTCATGTGAAGGTCATTGGCCCAGTACATGAAATCCAGAGTCTGACCAGACAGAGATTGGTAAGTGGCTCTCCCTTTCTAGGTGATAAAGCTGACAATAGTGGAATTGTAGAAAGAACCAAAACCATTCTCCCCTGCAGAAAAGGGAAGGGAAGAAAGGATACAGAGCCCAATGAACTGCCAAGGTACCAAAATGTGGATATGGATAGTAACCTCCTAGATGTCAAAACTCAAAGGAATCAATGAACATGGGATAGTCTAAGGGATCGTGAGGTAGAGAAGTAATGAGCATTTCCAAAGACCACATCCCAAAAGAGAGAGAACCTCATGGACAGAGAGAGAATGAGAAGAAATGGCAAGCATGACTGTCTGCTCAATATCCTGTGGAGAAGGCTGGGCTAGACCAAAAAAGGAAGTGAAGAGAACCCCCAAATAAATAAGATACTGTGAGGGGATAGTAACGAACTTCTCCAACCAGAAAAGAAATCCACCTGAGAAGCTTCTTTAAGAAGGAAGCGTGTGTGAGTGACTGACCAGGCACAGGAAGAGGCTAGCAGAAGCCTATTGTTCATAAATTTGAGTCTGAAGATCCAGCGAGTGAAGTTAATGTGTAAAAGATCATACCACTCCACAAAACACATATATAGCCTTCTAAAACAGGAAGGCAAACTCACCTAGAAGAACAAAAGAAAAAAATGTGACACTTGGGCATAAAAACCCACCAAAGTGAGAGGTAGGATTCCATGGTGAAGCAAGGTGACTGCAGATAAGTATACATCAAGGACAGATCAAGAAAGGGACTTTAAACTCCCTTGTATAGCGAGACAAAGAAGGACTGGAGTAAACTCCTGGTTGAGTGGGCTCCACACATTAGATACCTCCATTGTGTAGTAGGACATGAACAGAATGACCAAGACCCGGACAAGGTATGATCCCGAGAAGGAGATCTGGGAAGTGAATAGAGGGGGAGCAAATTGGAAGTCAGAGACCCTCATAGAGAATCTGTAAAAAGAACGGAACTGTCATGAAGTGTAGCCAAAAAGATACATAAAATAAAGAAACTGAAGAAAGTACACAGAACTAATGAATGACAAAAACTTAGAAACGTGTAGTCTACAAAGAGCTTAAAAGTAACACACCTGCAAAATTAAGAAAATCGATATGAACCATAAAACAAGTAACACCTAAAGTAACATTAACAGTGAAAAAATATAAAACATTAAACCAAATTAATGCAAGAAACAAACTATAAATGCAAGTTGTAAAAGTAACTTAGATGGTAAAAGAAGTATGAGATTCAAACTTACACAAGACTGACCACTGAAGACATGAATGACGTAAATTAGATCTATACACAAGCTCACATAAACTCACTGAACATGGGTATATCTACAGGAAGTGAGAAATACACATTCAAAAACTTACCACAGATCTCCTGGGAAAAATAACCATACCTATCTTAAAAGGAAAAAATTGCTGGCCAAGCGTAAGACACAAACTCCCTGCAAAAGAAAATCTGTGCTTCCTCAGCAGACATTGTGAAACCTGAGACTGAGGCCTAGTGTTATAACCGTTGTCTACTTATGGTGTGAAAATTATCAACTACCATAAGAAACCCAAATTCATATCAACAAGTAGAATTCTGGAAACAGAAACATCTCAAAAACAAACGAGTAGAAAATTGAACTTGAAACTTAATTGGTGATCAAGTACAATCAAAAATTGTTCAATCACATGGAAAACTTAAAACATAGATCTATACGTGAGAATGCCAATCAAGAAAGTGAGGATTGTGCCTCAAGGGTAGAGGAAGCTACCTATGCTAGTATAGAGGGCGCAATGGGATCAGTGGAGGCTGGTCATATGATCTGCACATGTTGAAATCATGCAAAAATATAGGGGTATAAAAGACTGATGCGCTTTTAAAAATTTTACCAATGCCTAGTGGGCAAATGAAGGTCAAGATAGCTTTGAGGGAGAAGAGGTAGTACTGTTTCGGAATAATGGTTATATGACATGTTATAATAGAACTACATAATAAATACATATATAAAGAGCACTGAGTAAGTTATATTAAAATGATTTTAGATAAGCAAATCAAAATGTATCAGAACTACATTTTGACATTGTATGGCATTTTGTAGGTAGTGTGATGCCACCAAAAATTGATAACATTAAGGAAAGGTATGTAATAGCTATTTCCAATGCAAAATATTCATACACTCAGATCATAAAGATGTGTTCAGATTAAGAATATCTTTTGTACTTAAGAAGTCACGTGTACACAAGTTGCTTCTGCAACATAAGCACTCAGCAATACATACCCCAAAAAGCTGGAGAATGAAATGAGTATTCATGCTATTCCATATAAAGACATACCAGTCTAATTGCCAGATGCAGCACCTACGAATTTGTGTGTGATTTTACTATACACTAGATGGATTATGGAAAGCTTTGAACATAACAGCCTCACAAGGTAGCCTTTTGCCACAGAAACTATGCTGCTGGGCTATTTTTAAGATGCATGATTGCCAGATAAAGAATGACTGGACATAGCAACATGAACTATAATGATGTGGTGAGGCTCGAAAATCATTTCAATATAATGTATCAAATTCTGTAAAAAGACTTAAAGAATGGATAAAGCATAATGCATGTCCAGACAATCTGCATACATTTTACAGATTTGCTAGCTCCTATAAATTTTACTTGCAAAAGTTGTCTTATTTGCATTTTACTTAACCTGTTCAGATTTGTAATACTCCTGTAACATAAAGTACCTATATCTTCATTTAGATGGTCACTTCCCCATATATTCTCTGTCTTATGCAGTATATTATCATGTAGGTAATAAGCTATTTTCTAGATGTGAAATCCAACAGCAATACAAACAATTCAAGTATATGTTGAATACACATTTTGCCTAGTCTGTACTCGTCTGCATAGTTTCTACCAAATAATTACATATATAACCCTTTCTGTATTGATTGCTGCCCACAAAATCTGCATGTGTTGTTTTGAATAATTAAATAACTAGCAGCTATTTCCAACCTCTGGAATGCATATAATAGAAATCTTTATAGAATAAATATAGTACACTGTAGCTTGCATGTATTTAAAATTACAAAATTATTTCAGCACCTTAGACACTGTACATTGTTATGTGTTTAACCCTATGTGGAAGGGTTGGGGTCAAAGTATGCTTATCACAATGTTTTACAGTTATATTCAAAATTTAATTACCGTTATTTATAAAGTATGTCAGTAAACTTGCCATTAGAAACCTAGTTATAATTCAAATTTTAATGTTATATAAGTTTTAATTTTTTAACTTCAACAGGAAATATTTAAATTAATGCTCAAACTGCACTTGTTTTTATCACAACGCTTGTTCATGTTTTCTACTTTCTAATCACCCCAATATGACATCTTTAGTTTAATCTAAATTACTCATTTATAGTAAATTTTAATTTACTGACTAAGATATAATGCCATTTTGTTCTCACAACAGCTTTTCATATATGTGGCCTAAATATCATAATAGTTATAGGACTTTGTATGCTTTTTTGCACTCTATTATTTTCTGTTCTTAAATGCATATTTCAAATAAGTAAAAAATTATTTGATGTACTAGTACCATCATTACATAAAAGAGGCTTAAGTTTTATTGACAGGCCGACTGCAAAAAAACAACAAACAAAAAATACACAAGTGGCCAAGCGGAAGTACTAAATTTCTTGTTTTATATGTAAATTTTTTGTTTATTGTTATACAAATAACTAAAATGTAAAAGTTATAAACTTACTATGTTAGATAAAAAAAAATTAATAAAGAAAATTAAATAAAAGTTTATCAGTGAGGTATGTGCTTGAGCTGCAAACATGTTATGTCAATAGAACTAAGTGCTCGTAGCATGAAGTTTAGCTTTTTAGGCACATAGTAAATTTGGAATTATAGTAAACACTAATTCTCCAAAAGGGTTAGGTCCAATGTTAATTTATTTACAAAATTTTAAAACATTTTAGAACTAATATCAATAAAATAAGTAATTTACTTAACCTAATTGTGGTTTTTAAATTATAAGTTCAACTTAAACCTAGACACAGGTCTATACATGAAGCAAAATGTTTTTATTTGAAGCTAAAGCAGTTATTTATACTTTCTAATGATGTCATGGGTACTGTCAGTGTACAAATTACAAAATGCTTGATGATCCTTATCACCATAAGAATTATATATATCTATACAAAATGTATTTATTAATTTTTTCTGTATGTTAAATATTCCTTATAGTTACTGCTTCAGTGTTATGAAGTGAAATTTTAGGTAAAGCAGAATAAATTCCATTAGTCACAACATATTCTAAGCATAACAACATGTTATTGTTATCAAGGAAATGTATTTAGAAACTCCCTCTTAACACTCACAGCCCCAATGGCAGTGTGCAATTTTTTTTCAGTAATGGGATTTGAACATTGGACCCACAGATGTACAGTCTAGCATGTTAGACACTGGGCCATTCTAAGCCCACTAATATAGCATACACCTTTTTTATTTCTAAAAATTAAGCTTAAACTGGCACTTTGACTTGTTTGTTTGTAGTTAAGCACAAAGCTAAGCAATGGGCTATCTTTGCTGTGCCCACCACAGGTACAGAAACTGTTTCTAGCATTATAAATCTGCAGACTTACCACTGTGCCACTGGGGGGGGCACACATTTTAACTTAAATGGTTATCTCTATACTTCTTACTTCTATTCATCAAAATACATTAATACCTATTTTAATTTCTATTTACAGCTATATAATCTCAAAAACAACATTTTTAAGATGTAAAAAATCTACCGTAGTACACAAAAATGGTATGTTAAAGTATTTACATTAACAAGAACTGTTGGTTCTAAAAGCAACAGAAACTCTGTAAAAACTATTTACAGAAATACACAATAAAAAAACTTACATGAAATAGTTGCACTTTTCTGTACTACAGTGTTATGAATAATTTGTGCTGATTTCTTTGGGAGCACAGGGGTCCAGGAACCATTCTCATGAAATTGAACCTCCATGCATTCACTAGGTGCTTTGGTGATGAGTTCCATAAACAAACTGTGGTTAACAGATTAAATAAACCAAAGTGAAAAGACTAATTCATATTGAAAAATGTGATTATACAATATAAAATAAGTGGTTGTTTTACTAATAAAATCCTTCAATATAAATGTGAATGTTTGAATGATGCATATTGACACACTTGGCCTTAATTCAATTACAGCCTTTTCTTTTCTTTTTTAAATTTTGATGTGTATTTATAGGAATCTGACTTAAAATCATAAATAAGTCATACTATAATTAGGAATCTGACTGTTGAAGTATATGCTATAAGCAACTAGTAGATTCACTGGTTCAATAATTTAAGTTTGAATTTTGTATTTATAGCATTGGCAGGGTTATTTGCAGCCATCCTTAGTTTGAACTGCTGACCAGTGAGAAGGTAGCCAGTAAGCAGAACCACTACTGCACATGATGAGGGATTGATGTCACTCTTGTAATGCACCCATAGCTTAAAGTGCAGAGAATATCTTTCACTACTGAATAGGTTAGAACCCAGCTTGTCAACTGCAAAATCCATGACAATCCAATCAAATTCCATTGTGGTGTATAGCAGAGGCTCTAGCAAAGTTGAAAGCAAAACGCAGGGTGAGCAAATAGTGTAATTACAGCACAGCTATGTTCTGCACACTCAAAAACAGACATGTTCATAAAGACAAACCATTACCATCACTCTGGAAAAAGTACTTGTGGGTAACCTTTAACAGACACCTCAACTTCACAATCCACATTAATAACACGTTCTGATCAGAGCTACCATAGGTATCAATGCATTGAAAGTTGCAGGAGGGACCAAAGTTGAAGAATGCCACTTGCTTATGTTTTACCCAAGTCTTATCTCCTATATTTTGCATTATGCACAACCGATGATCAATACGCAAGTTACACAGCTAGATAAGGTTGGTTGTTTGGTGTTTTATGGTGCAAAGCAATGAGGCTATCTGCGCCAAACAACCGGTAAAAACAGTAAAAAACAAAAACTGTAGTAAAATGTAAAAACACAGCGAGGTAAAACCAAAGTATGTCCAAAATTCAGATAAAAGATTTATATACAATTAAAAAGGCCAATTGTTCCTAAAAAATTAAAAATACAATCAAGTCGAACTGTGTCGCCATCGCCAATGACATTGTCCAACGTTAGAGGTAAACTCTTACAAAACACGTGTCTAAAATGGTGCCGCCACTGATGGTCGTAACGATGGCACGACAGTAAAATGTGGGCTATTGTGACTTGAGTGCCACAAAGGCTACACATTGGTGGGTCAATACCATATAAAAGAAAACGATGAGTTAAAAACTGTGACCAATGCATAGCCTTGCCAGGACAAGTTCCTCCTTCTGATCCTTATGAAAGCAAGATGGCCAAAGAGCAACAGAAGGTTTGATCTGAAAAAGCTTGTTAAGATGTTGCTCACCCCAAGTCGACTGCCAACAGGCACGAAGCCGTGCCTTGAAGACAGGACCGTAGTCCAGAGCAGATGGACTTAGCTGCGGTGTCAACGAGCTTGTTCCAGTGAATACTGATGTGGCCAGGTATCCAGAAAAACTGGATGGAAACAGAAGATACAGAAAAATGGGCCAGTTGTTGTTGAATATCAACGAGAACAGGGTGAGAACTAATGTTAAACGATTCCAGGACCAGTAGAGAGCTAAGAGAATCAGTGTAAATAGTACAATCACTGTACTGCATAGCTTCTACATGATTCAGGGCAAGAGAAATAGCATACAACTGTAGCAGAAACTGTAGAAGGGATCCTGCAAGCAACTACCGAGCCACAGCAAACAATGGCAGAGCCTACAGAGTCACCCAATTTCGAATCATCCATGTAAATAGGAAGAGAAGAGTGGCTTGAAAGATATTCCGCACAAAAAGAAGATGGTACTTCCAATCAGTAGTATCTTCCTTCCTCAGATGACTCAAGGAAAGGTCACAGGAAGGGATGGTAATAAGCCATGGTGGAATGGGCTGATCATTGGGGACAGCAATCTAATCCAATGTCAGACCCAATTGAGCCACTTGTGCCCATCTGTTCTGAAAGAGCATGGCCTACCGAGGAAGAAAGACACAATCCCATATGGGATACTATGGTAAGAATCGAAGCTTGGTAGCATATTGTAAAGAAAGTTGCAAATGACAGAGGTGAAGAGGAGGTTTGTGGGACTCAGTGTACAAACTCTGGACTGGAGAAGTGCAAAAAGCCCCGGTGCAGAGCCAAAGTCCCAGATGGTGAACAGAGTCCAGCATCTTCAAAGCCGAGGTCCTGACAGAACCATAGACCCATAGTCCAGTTTGAATAGAATCAGGGCATAATAGATCCTGAGCATAGAACATTGATGCACTCCCCAAGTACTTTGCATGAATAGAATCAGGGCATGATAAATCCTGAGCATAGATCATTGATGCACTCCCCAAGTATATTGCATCAGGGACCACACGAATAACAACACTGCCGAGACAGAGATCGGAGTGGAGACCCCATTGGTGGCAAAAATGCATACAAGCAGTTTTGGAAAAAGAAAATGTAAAACCATTTGCAGTGGTACACGTCAACAAGCAATTGAGAGCAGTCTGAAGCTGCCGCTCAATAAACCTCATGTTCGACGACTGACATGAGATGTGAAAGTTGTCGATATAGAGCCCATTTGCAACAGTCGGAGGAAGTGATAGCATTAATTCTAACACTAAAAGTGACACTCAAGACACAGCCCTGAGGGACTCCAAGTTCTTGTGAAAAGGAATGGGAGAGAATTGAACCCACACGGACTTGGAATGACCTGTTCAGTAAAATGTCCTGAATAAAAATGGGTAAATGACCACGCAACCCATAGGAGTGGAGGTTCTGCAAAATGCCATATCTCCACGTAGTGTCATATGCCTTCTCGAAATCAAAGAACACAGAAACAAGGTGTTCTCTTTTCAGGAAGGCTTCCCTGATCGATGTTTCAAGTCTAATCAGATGGTCTATGGTAGAGTATTGTCAACAGAACCCATACTGGGTGAGCGAAATGAGTGTTCAATTAGAGGAACCAAACAAGATGAGCATTAATCATCCTTTCTAAGACCTTACAAAGATAACTAGTCAAAGAGATGGGATGATAATTAGAAGTAATCTTGTGATCCTTCCCAGGTTTAGAGAAGGAATGGACAATAGCCTGGCACCAAGCATCAGGAAAAATACATTCCTGCCAGATCTGGTTAAAAAGAACCAGAAGAATAGCAAGAGAGGCTATTCCAATTCTTGTCCCATAAGGTTTTTTGAACTAGTGGAAGAAGAGATGCTAGTAGTGAACTTAATCCAAGACTCCTTTTGGCTTTGACATCGAACCTCATCAGGGGCATGGGCCTGCTGATAAACAATGCAGTTAGAAAGAGAGGGATACCGTCGGAAGGTATCCCAGGCCCGTTTTTGAGCCTTCCATGCTTCCTGGCAGACAGGACTCCACCATGGACGAGGATACCGTGGAAAATGTGTCGAGGTCTTAGGAATAAAATGAGAAGCTGCCTGGATGACACAGTCAGTCGTTGAAACCACACAGTCATCAATTGATGGCAAACAGACAAAGGCAGGATCAAATTCGGAGAGAGAGGTGAAAGACAGCCAGTCAGTCTGGTCTAACTTCCACCGTGGCACTCGGGTCGGGTAGCCACCCCCCCCCCCCATAATGATAGGAAAATGTCCTGTGGATAACTGTCAACCATCCAAGAGAAGCGAGTGAAAAGTGAAGGGGAGCAGATCGAGAGATCAATAGCAGTAAAAGACTGACTAGGTGCATGAAAATAAGTATAAGAACCAGTATTGAAGAGAGAAAGGTCGTGATTCGCTCTACGGAACAACCCCTCCCATCAATATCAGCACCACCCCAGAAGGGATTGTGTCCATTAAAGTCTCCCAGAATTAAAAAGGGAGATGGCAACTGGTCAACGAGAGCATCAAGGTCCAATTGATCATAAGTCTCCCAGACATGTAGAGAGAACAAACAGTGATGGTATGACCTTAGGAAACACGGATGGCTACGGCCTCCAAGGAGGGCACATGCTGGTTGACAAGCAGTGCCACCCCTCCATTACTCACCCTGTCATTCCGGTACAAAGAAAACTGCCGAAAGGTGACTGTATCAGCAGGTTTCAGAAATGTTTCCTGTAAGGAGAGACACATGGGTTGATAAGAGATGATCAAGGCCTTAATGTCATCGAGATTAGAATAAAAACCTCGACAGTTCCACTGTATCAATGTGGCCATTTTTATGTAGGTGAAGGAGAACCCTCCAGCTTACGGCCACGCCATTTTTCTTTACTAGTAGAAAGTCGATCAACCTCCATGGATCCTGCCCTTGAGCGAGTGGGCAGATCTCTGTCATCAGACTGAGAATCCAATGACTGAGGACATGATTAATAGATCATCCTGCATCTAGGGGCCAAAGAAGGATCTGAGCGGACACCGGAGGTGGGCCCAGGCAGTCACTGGAAGGAATAGTGGGGACAGAGATTGGAGTAGATGTAGACCGGTCAACGCTGTTATCCATGAAGGGCAGAAGACCCCTCATATGGCATGAAAAAGACTCAGGTGAAGGCACAGAAAGGTCCATCTGCACCCCCACTGTAGCAGTGGCATATGTCTGAGATGGAGTAGGGAACAATAGCTTCTGTGCTTCAGGGTAAGAAATGTTAACAGTCTTCAAATACTGTACCTTTTTCTCCTCCACCCACTTACGGCAAGACCTGAAGTAAGAGGGGTGGGAACCACTACAATTTACATAGTGAGGGTCCAGTTTGCACTCATAGGCATCGTGGTCCTTGCCACCACAGCAAGCACACATCACAGACCCATGACAAGATGTCTTCAAATGACCGACCCGCTGGCACTGGAAACATCGGAGAGGGTTGGGAATATATGGCCATACCTTACAATTCAAATAACCCACTTTAACAGTGACAGGTGGACATGGTGATGAAAACGTCAAAATCAGAACGGAGGTCGGCACCATAATACCATCTTGACGAGTGGAGATCTGTCGAATTGCTGAAACTCCTTGGCTGGAGAAACCAGCAAGGATCTCTGACTCGGGGATATTCTTCAAGTCCCTCTCAACAATAACTCCTTGTGAGAAATTCAGAGAAGTGTGAGGAGTAACCTCAATGGGTATATCCCCAATGGCCTTTGAATTCAAGAAGAGTTCACTGTGCTTTGCTGTTGAGGTTTCAACTAAGATATCTCCAGAATGGAGCTTCTTAACTGACTTTGGAGAGCAAGCAAGCCCCTCTAATCCCTTCTGTATAAAAAATGGAGACATTTGCCTTAAAGATATGTCAGACAGAGAATGCAAGATCAGGAAGCGAGGTACAGGTGAACTTTGTGACGGAGACTGCTGTTCGGAGTCAGCAAGGTGTGGACATTTACCAATTAGCAGAGTTTTTAAAAATTTTTTATTTGGATTTGGGGGATCCATAATAAAAGAGAAGTGCCCACTGACCCCACCCACCAAAGAGTCCTACAATAGAACAAGTACACTGCAGCAATGCCAGGGTTTTGTGAACACTATACCCAAACACCAGCATCAGACACGATGTCCACAACACCCATTGAGAATGCCCAACACTGGTACTCAGTTGACCCTAGCCCAATGGGACCAGCCGATTGCCATTGGCGGGGGCCACCCCAAGGACACCTGTCTACAGGAATTCAAGGCCAAAGTGGTGTCTTGCAGTGCCCCAGCCACCACTCAACCACCAGGATCCTCTCCTCTGCTTCACGGGTCACTATGCACGGCAAACACATGGGTGGATGTTTAGATACCAGAGGAAGTAACTGAAAATACAGAACCTTCCCTGGGAGGTCCCATCACCACGTACAGGAATCCACGTGGAGGGGCAGCTAGATAAGATTGAAAAGATACACAATATATGTTTAATAATAGTCATGGGTATAATTCAGCTACTTCCATCACAGTGATCCAGAAGACACCAACTAAGCAGGGAACAGACTAAAGGATGCCCCAGGAGACACTTGTTGGTAAAAAGATACCATCCATCCACCTCTGAGATAATTGGTCACCATCAGGTCTCAGATGCTCCATGTTGAATAAACATCTGAAACTAATGGAATTTGTCAAAATCAGCCTAGACAGCAAATGTAGAGACTGAGCAGAGGGAGAAGCAGTAAAAGGCTTTCAACATCTATTTAAAGACCATAGTGGACAGTCACAGACATTTCCTACACCACAAACAGTGATAAACCTTGTTGGGCAACAATATTCTGTATAACGCTGATGGAGGATTCAAGTTTTCTAAGAAAAGAACAAAGAAGGAATGATGTCATAAAGCAAGTACTCTCTGGATTGCTGAAAGCAATGAACCACAAATAGACAGTGCCACCAAAATAATATTTGCAACTGACTTGCAGGCAGTATTTCATTAAATTCAGATTAGTTGGTCCCCTAATGGATGGAAGAAAGAAAGGCAACTGCACGATATTAAAGGCCATCACCCCAGTACATGTGCCAGGCCTTGTAGGAATAAAGCTAAATCAGGAAGCTGACACACTCATAAGAGAAGTATTTGTATGAACTCTAGCACAACTCTACTGGAAGGATATTGACCTCCTCTACACTAATGAAATGGTAGCCATGGAAGGTCTTTATCAACATTCAGAGGGAATGAGATTATTAGAAAACATCGTACTGAGTAGTGTAGCTCAGAAAACAAAACATGCTGAACCAACAGAACAATGTAAAGCCAGAAGGTCAATGTTAACAATCAGTAAAGTAACTCTCTTGTACTTCCTGTGAGGAAGGTGGGCCCCACATAGAGGTCAGCACCCACCAGTGCAACTACAGGAGCTGTCACCTAGTATTCAGTTCAATAACAGTTTTGTATGAACAGAACCACTGAGTAAGATAAATGATTATCCTACGGTAACCATCCAATTGTATACAAACAATACTAGACAAACAAATAACCAATAACTCAAAAGTGTTGGATATACAAGACTGTTTAGAGTTATTATTTAGTTTTTTCAGTGATCTAATGTTTAATGATTACTTAGTTTTCATAACAAGTGTTAAAAGTATTTATTTTAATAGTGATAGTTCTGACAAATCCTGGTAAGAGTCGACTGTTGTGTGTGTGTAGTTCATTATTGCTTATTGCAGTCTGACATTACTCAAATCTTCTGTATTTTGTAAAAAGCCCTAAGCCCCAGTTGGAATATGTGTGTGTGTGTGTGTGTGTGTGTGTGTATATATATATATATATATAGGAGACCATGTTAGTGCAAATTAAGCTGCGTAATTGTTAGTTTAGCTATAATGGGTGATATTTTAAAGCTTAACAGAAATAAGGAGAATAACTTATCTTGTCAACGGATGTTCTAAAGGTACTTAACCACCTGTGTGGACTTCAATGAAAAGAAGACAATTATTTAAAGTTCTGGATATAATTGTGGTAACCCATTGGGTAATGTAAGTGAATATATTGCAGCTGTATACTAAGAAACAGAGCACAAAAAAATAATTTGTCTCGTCAATTGGATTCTAAAGTAATGGAATCAACCTGTGCAGACTTTTGACAAGAAAGGAGAATTATTTAGTTTTAGAAGCAACTGTGATATTCTATAGTGTAAAGAATTTTTGTACATACAAGTGGATTGTGTGCTGTCTGTTTATTGTTTGAATTTATCGTCAACAAGTCACAGACTTGTAGCCTTTCTTAAAACTTGACAAAAAGGTAATTGGTTAGATATTTTTTAATAATTTTTCTCCATAAATTAAATACAAAAAGACAAGTTTACTGAAAATCTTAAGGTCAGATGAGATTAAAATTGAATTGCTGATCATGGGAACTAGTTGTTATACCACAATTATGGCATTTATATTTCATTTTCGTCCAAACTCATATTAATATTAAGCACTTACCCATCAATGACCAACTTTTTGAAAAGAGCGGGTTTGTCACAAACTGGACAAATCCAAGTAGGTTTTTTCTCATTCATCTGCAGATAAAGAGAAGCATCAAAACACTGAAGATGTGAGCAAGTGGTGGCACGAGAAGGAACCTGCATTCTCATCTTTCCCAACTGAAAAAAATTAGAAGATCACACTATCTCAAGACATATGTACTTTACAAATAGCAAACTTAAAATACTAACACAAAAGAGACTTATATTACAAGGCACATGTCATAAATAGAACTGTACAAGGAAATCTAGAGAACAAATTCTGACAAGTTTGACATTTAAAGGTTAATGTTTTCTAATAAACTATATGAGATATAAAATATATGTTTAGCTTAATCTTTAAAAGACCAAACTATATGCTTAACTCACTTTAGAGATTTTGGGTATTCAATTTTGCTTAACGTGATCTTTAAAGACCCATTTTGTCTGCTGATCTTTGGGAATTCTAAAAACACAAGTTCTGTAAAGTAAAACAGTTGTATATTTGTTGGCCAACTTACAATTTCATCGCAAATATTTTTTATTATCTCTATTATCATGAAAAATTTGCCCTTTTGGCTCAAGAATTTTGTAACAGTGTTAAAGTACTTTTTTAGAATTTTAAAATTTAATAATGAAATAACTAAAGAAATACAACCATGCAGTTTTCAACATTTTGTAGCTAAAATCTAATGGTTTTTATTGTCACATTTTTTAAAACTCCAGTGAGTAGTGTTTCTTCATAAAATGGCAACAGTGCAATAAAAGGCTAAATATGGTCTCCAAGTTTGCCAGACATCATTCCACTAGACTTCTTTCTTTGAGAAAAACATTGTATATCGCACATTTATAGCAAATACATCACAGGACTAAAGACCAGGATAACAGATGCCATTGCCACTGTAACTGTCGACATGTTGAGAACCACTGCTGACATGTTAATAAAAACTGTTTGAGTTGGGCTATAAGATGTTGAAAACATCATGGTTGTATTTCTTTGGTTATTTAATTATTAAATTTTAAAATAGGAAAGACAAAGTGGTTCAAATATAATATGCCTTCACTCAAACTATACCTATTAAGAGTGTAATAAAAGAAAAATGTTACAAAATACAAGCTGTCCCAATGTACATCTTATCTGTACTAAACAAATGCCAGGGTGAGTTGCACCATGACCTTTTATATACAGTGTACTATGAGAGAACCAAAATAATCTGAAACCAAGAGTCAATCTTTTTTTTTAATATTAGAGTAAAAAGTAATTTTTCAATTCAGTATTAAGTCTAAACATAGCAGAAAGGAGAAATGCATTACAGAATACAATTTTACATGTATCTCTTGACATATGTTCTTATATTGTGACATGAATATATAATAATCAATAAATGAAATGGCAGTAAAGACTAATAAAAACAGCTCATAACTAATACTGTTTATAAACACTATCAAATCTAAATTTTCGTGTGAAAGTGTCAATGTCTCTAATAATACAATTCATACAAGTTTTGTGATTTACATTTTATTTTTGCTGTTTTAATTAAGTAAAATGCATTATTTCATCTATGCCTATGTTGGTGAAATTGATTAGAACTCCAGCTATGTAAATAAGAGCTTAGTTTACTTTAGCTGGTTAGCCAGTTTTCCTGCCAACTAATTTAAAGACATGCTCATTGATGCATCAAGATCAGTTTGCAAATGACTGCTCTTGAAAGAGTGGGTCAGCATGTGATGTCAGTGAATTATTATCATTTTCTCATAATTTAGAGTTTTTGGCCCTGGGCAGAAACGTGACTGTGTGTGTGGACATGGAAGTAATTATATATGGAAAGGTTTTTGTGCAATACAAAATTCCTCCTAGTATCATGACCTCCAGTTGAAGTGTCTATTGTACTTAATGATCATTCATTAATATAAGACCAGAAAGTTACTTTGTCAGTATCAAAGCATTCTTCTGGTCTGCTTGCACTTATCCTTTTTTTTATCATCAGGTCCCTTACATATCTCATTTCTGTTTCAAATGTTAGTCTTGGTTCATTTTCAACTAACCCTTTTAGTCTTCAAGTATGGATTGTGTTGTTTTGCATATAAAATCAAATTATAACAATAAGACACTCTAGTATTAATTTGCATGTCCTTTTAATTTTTTGTGTCAATATAACTTGTAGAAAATGGTAATAAAAAAAATATGAAGTGCACACAAATGAAAAAAAAAAATCACCTTTCTATTCATATGTTTACTTAAGAATTATACCTGCATCTACAATTTAAATTAATACATTTCTGAGTAAAATGGGCATGAACATTCACAATGGAAGAGAGAAAATTAGAATTTCTAGGATCTATATGCAACAACATAAAAGTACTATAGGAAATTCCCACCAAAGTTAACATTATGTTTGTCTGACCTATTCAGACTAAACAAGTGTAAGCTTACCTAAATATTCCTAGAGGAAAAAGTTACTTAATTAGGAATATGTAATGCTTATATGTCTCTATTACTCTAGATCCTTTATCACAGTACTGCTAGAATAAAACTGTTAAAGATGTACCTATTCAATTTTAAGGCCATTAAAAATACATATAAGAAATATGTGAACAAAACTGTATTTTTAAGACAGTAATTTTTGAACATAAAACATAGATAACTTACAGGACACATCAATGATCCTCTTAGGCTTGTTGTAGCTATTTCAGAGTCTGGATCTTGCTGAAGTTTCTCTTTAACTAAAAAAAAAAAGTTATTGTTAGTATTCAGCATTAAACACTGAGTAAAAAAAAGTATTTCATATTACCCTACTTACAGTTTTTGAATCTTGTATGAAGACTAATGTTTGTCTAATTAGAGGTAACTTTATCATGAAATATTTGCATTATTTATAACAAGCTGTTAGTTACTTATTTTACTATGCATGAAAGACTTAAATGCATTGCCAGATATTATTTTAATGAAAACCTTAGTTAGCAAATAATGACATTTTTTCACACACACACATATAAAACAAAACTGAGTCACATTAAGACATACACATCTTAAATTTTTATCTTGAATCAAATTTTCTATTCCAAATTTCTAACATATCTAGGAAATACCTCACTTACCGATCTGCCCTACAGTAAACAAGGGCCAAGCCATAATGGTCTGATAATCATAACTGGGGCTTCTGATTTTAAGGAATAAACACCCCAATACCAAAAAAAAAAAAAAAGAAGAAGAAGAAGATGAAGAGAAATTTGGTGTTTTTTCAGTAAACGTCACAAATGGTTATTCAGTTTGCTTTACATTAGTATTCCCACTTTCCAAAATCATTGTGCTCATCAGACATAACCATTTCCATGAGATCGTGTATAATTATTATTATTTTTCATTATCATATGAAGCTTTAACATAAATAGAACTATGTTTTAAACCTGTTATTATATGCAATATATTCGTATACTTATTACAGTATTAAAAGCAAAAACTCTGAAAAACCCCAATTTTAAAGTATTTACATAAAACTAAAAATGAAAATCCCAATAAAAACAATGATTTTAAGTTGTCTAAATAAAACTATAGAACAGTTAAAAACACACACTGAAAGACAGAAGCCCTAATAACAATAATATAATATATATCCACTCATTACTAAAACATATACAGTATTGGAAATAATTATGAAAATAGTGAATAAAATGAGTACAAAATGCCAATATAATTGATGGAATTGCTATCCCTCTACTGTATGAAAATGAACTACACCAGAGTATAGTCACTTGTTGATAGTTTAAACTGTGATTGGCTGTAATCTAACCAATTAGACAGTGCCATCAGGGTAATGCCTAAAAAAGTACACAGGATTATACTATTTCCAACAGTAATGTGGGGAATGTACTCACAGTTCCTAGAACAGAAGTACCACATGACAGATGTGTAAAAATCAAAGCATTTGATAGTGAAAGCTACTCCATGCAGTAGGGTGAGGCAACATTTCAAGTTTCAGAAAGAGCTATATGAAACTCTAAAAGAGGGTAAGTGAATTAGTACTGTTCATAATTGAAGTGGTCCAGGTAGAAAGTCCAGACTTTTCAAAAGTGATTTTAAAACACAGGGTATGCTTTTAACATTATACACACCAATTGAGTAAAGATCTTGCTAGTGATCTAGCTGTAAGTATAGTTGAGAATGTTACCTCCAGAACAGTAAGATACACATTAACATGAACTGGCATCAATGGATGTGTAGCCATTCAAAATTCACTGATCAGGATTAACAACCATACCAAAAGGTCAAAATAGGTATCAAGCTTCAAACAATAGGATAAGCAAAGCTGAAGGAAGGTGTTCTTTACGAGTCTAAATTGTCTAAATAAATGATAGTATGTGTGAAGAGAGGAGAATGATATCACAGTCAACATATAACATTTAAAGTGAAACACGCTGGGGTACAAATACAAGCATGGGGTAAATCTCAGCCTATAATGTTGAAAAAAACAAAAAACAACAACTGATGGTATCCAATTACTGAAAGGTACAAGCACGTTCTTATCTATAATTTTATTCTCTCAGGAAAAAGACTAGTTTGATAGTATTCATTACATGTTTATATAACAAGTCTAGACTTCTAAAAGCTAAGATATAGGCAGTTACATCATACAGTAGCATTAGATCTTGAGAAATAGTAATTGGCTAAAATCAATAAATGTGGTGAAACTATATCCGTAAGAAAAAATTAGGTCAATGGAACATCTGCAATCATGGCTTTGATTGCACAAAGCTCCAATAAGAATATTATTAAGGCTGTATAGGTTTATTTGGAACTTGGAAAGGTACAATATTTTGCAATCATATGGTAGTATAAAAACAAGGTGTACTGCTTTGCTTAAAGTAAATACAAAATATTAATGCACTGTACAACTTGCTCATCATTTTATTGCATGTCCTGTAATAAGGTATTGTATTAATGATAACCAACCACTTAGTTGCAATTACACATTGTTTGTGACTTCTGTATGTGTACCATCTGTGTATTTCCACAATTAGTTATAATACTGTATATTGAAGATAGAGAGAATAATGATATTACAGTTAACACCACAGATTTCTATGTTTATTTCCAATGACTTATATTCTTTAACAGCAAACATTACTACAGTAAATGGTGGAATAACACATCAAGCTAATAACTTACTCAGAGCTCTAGTGTGATCAGGATTTCTTACACCAGACGATTTTAAGCGACTTAACAAGATCCCTGAACTCAGTCTTCTTACAAGGTACACTCCTACAACATAGCCCTGAATAATTATACAAACAATATCAATAAGAATATAATTCAATCCATAGAGCTTACATTTGAAACTTCAGTAGCAATAGAAGCAAACACACATTGAAGGATATTGACATACATAACATAGAATTAATATAACCTGGTTAAAGTAAAATATTTTATTCCTAAAACTCTTGTTTCACAAGACTACATGAAGAGAACACTTCAATTACCACTTTTCTTAATACTTTTGAAGCATTTACTTGGTAAAGTCTTATAGAATAATAATGAAATAAGCTACATTTTTCCTAGTTATATCTAATTTTATTGCTAATAAATTTTATGAACACGAAGTCTCTAGTATATGTCCTAATAGATTAGGTATACAGTTTGTTTTTAGTTCAAGAAGAACAATTTTCTTTACTGATTCAAATGTTTTTTTCACTTAAATAAAATTCTAATCCCCCCCCCCCCCCATCTACCTGCAGATAAGGTTGAATAATGTTTATGTGTTCAATAACAATCTTCAACAATGTAAATATTTAACTTTCTTTACCAAAAGTTGCATGATATTAGTATTGCATAAAACTACACACAAATGCATACAAATATATTGGAAAATTCTACTATCTTAAACTATGAAAACTATTTTATAAATAAAAGAATTAGCAATAGCATAATGATCAACTAAATAATAATGTTGATGAAGCAAGGAACAATAAATAAATTTAAACCACTGTGTTATGAGTACTTGTTTATAAGAAATTATATAATTTTATGCCAGTTTCATTTCTTTGTAACAGCATATGTTATATTTCCAAACAAAAACACAAAAGAAAACCTATCACAAGCTAAGCTTTTATCACTCTGTTCTGATATCTAAGCAAGTCTTAGCTAAACTGGAAGCCGCATTGACTTAACCAGTTGAAATGAACAGGGAAAGAGTATTTATTACATGTTTATATCACAAGTCTAGACTTCTAAAAGCTAAGATATAGGCAGTTACATCATACAGTAACATTAGATCTTGAGAAACAGTAATTGGCTAAAATCAATAAAACTACACTTGTACTGAAGTTAAAGTTCAAATTGACTTTGTTTTGTTCAAAAATATTTCAACTTTCCTTCTAGGGGCTATGAGGGCCCCATTGTTATCAGAAAAAAATTAGAAGATTCACAAACACTAAAGTTTATACAGCATGCTGAAATCAACCCAAAATCAAAATCTGAGATTTAAAAAAATTTTGAATATTTTTTACTCTGAAGTAAATGAATAAATAAAAAATGTGTGCAAGTTTTTCTCTCAAGACAGGATGGACCTAATTAGGCACCCAAAGGGTTAAATGTACATGTTTTGGGGATAAATTCACCAAAGTAAGATGTTTTACACAGAACACTTTAAAATGGCAGAAGTGTGGATATATATTAAATTAATTAAGACAAATGTAGTGAATGTTGGTTACTGCTGTGTTTTGTGCAAATCAAATGAAAACCTTGATTTATGTCATACAGGCTTTTGATTAAAATTTCTCTGATTGACAATTTAGTAACATACAATTTCATTAAAATAAATTATCACATTGTTATGTTATATTTAACCTGTTTTGACTTCTCAATTTCTCTTATTTAATATACAGAGGTTGAATACATTACATTAAGATGATTTCACAGCTTTACCACAATGTTACAGTTCATGTCTGGTTATGCTATTATCTGGTGACCATACATCTTAACAATACCCCTACAGAGTAGCTGCTATTGAAAAAGGATCCACTGTAAAGCTATCACATTCTGAGCACAACCTTGTTCCCTGCAGCTGTCCATAATAATTCATCTGGCATGAGGATGACAATTTCCTAGCACCTGTTTCAACAGTCTGATCACACAGAAATCCAAAACACTGCATCTGGCAATTTGACCAGTATGTTTTCATATCGAGAAGCATGAAAACCCATTTCATTCTCCAGCTGCTTGAGATATGTGATAGTTGAATTGATATGTTGTAAAGATCCTTCTTGAATATGTTGCATATTGTTGCCTGAGACATGTGGACAGCTTTTGTCATTGACCTTCATGTCACTATCTTTACTTACCAGAGCTGGGATATACCTTGTTGCAGGACAGTTTCTGGATGGTCTTGGTTTGTGAAGTTGATCCATATTCCTTTGTTTTGCAATGTCATTAAATATAAGTGACATCTATGTCTTGAAATGTCAAATCCCCAATATATTTCTTAAAAGCAATCAATGTTTGGCAGCCTCACATTACTATGACACACCAAACAATGTCAAGATGTAGGTCCCATATATGCCATTCTACTGTAATTTTATATTGGCTGTCACAACTTCCTGATTTGAATATTTAAATCCAATTTAATATAGTATTTTCAACCTCTTACAGGTAAAATCATCTTCAATTATAAGTAATTTAAAAACAACTTTGGAAAACTCAAAGATACATTCTTTTACTGTAAACTCAATTGTTACAAACAGTTAAAAAAACCAAATAAAATGCTGTTAACCTATCAGTAAAAGTACTTATACAAAATACACTTATGTCTTGTAAGTCAATTTATTTTGTATACTTCAGGTAATCCATAAAGTATTCCATAATGCAAACCACTATAAATTATTTCAGATACTAATCATTCTCAATTAAGTTTTAAAAGAATTTAATTCACATTCCATTACATCAGGCTTATAAAACAGTTCTTTTTTGTGGGTTTCATGAAAAGGTGGTTAATTACAAAAAACTTCTTACAAAAGAAATAACTTCATTTTCAATTGATTGATAATGTTTTAAAGAGGATTTACAAGCTTTATGTACATATGTTCTACAACTAAACATATAGCTTATTGTATTTTGCATTAAAAAGTGAAACATGATTTAGAATTAAAGAAAAAATTAAAACTGTCTTGAATAGCTAGAACTTAAATTGTTTTTAAGACAACATTTTCTTTACATAATTACTTTAAACTTAGAAACAGTGTTCTAAAAATGCAGCAATCTTGTATAATCTATAACTTTATGTGTCTAAGGCCTAAGGTTATGTTGGTATACAGTTTGTAGTTTGAGTTCAAAGATTAGAGAACATGCACAAATTACTACATATACCCAACCAGCTATTCTTCAACATGGTTTACAACACTGACTTTCTTCCTCTTGTCAAAGATTTCAGTTTTCTGGAAAACACTTCAAATGAAAAAAAAAAAAGCTCAGAACCAAAGAAATTGTAGATTCATAAGTTACATCCAGAATTGAATGTTAATTGGTATACTTCTCTATATATCTGAAGTTTTAACTGGAATTTTCTCTGTGCCTGAGGATGGTTAATGAATAACCAAAAGTTTGAATGCATTATTACAAATATTGTAGGAAGAACAAATGAATGGAAAACTGATTATGGTCTTGCATCATTTTTGTGTTTAAAGGAAAGGGTCTTAAATCTACAAAGTTTTTTAATTGTATGTCTATTTATGTAAATTTATTTAGTGTATTAAATGGGTTTTGGTGATAGTGTATTACTTAAAAATGTGTATTAGTTTACATATCTGATGTTATAATGTATGTTGTTTTATTTATCAATACTGTCATTCTGACATTATAATTTCCAAAGCATGTCCCATTAGTTCAAATAATTTTAAAAAGACATAATGATAATGAGAAAAATAAGATTCATATGGAAATGAGATTAAAACAAAGAAAACGTATATAGAATAAAATGTGAAAAGTCTAGTGTGCCTACTTTATTAGAAGAACCTACACAAGTTATTTACAATTTTTCAGAAAAAAATGGACATAAACTGAAAAAAGGGTACTGTCCAGATGTTTAAGGTTTTCAAATACTCCTAGGAAGTTAAATTATGTAAAATATTTCATTAATTTTGAAGTTATTACATAAGTTAAAACTCATACCCATTCAAGCCCAAAATAATATAACATTTTGATAACATAGTTAACTCTCTCAACACAGACTTGGTCAATTTGACTGACCATGTCACCTCTTTGTACTCATATAAAGTCTTTACAGATTTGATACTACTAACTTTTAATATAGTATGAAAATCTTCACAAAATGTGACAGTCTTTAACTAAACATTATAAGTCTTTCACATACAAAAAATCATATTTTTTATGAAGTGTTTTAAATAAATTAAAAAAGATTTGTCCAGAAATATATTGAGTGTTTGTTTTGAATAGTGATTTTCATATTATGATTAAAAATACTTTCTTCATCTCAAAAATCTCAGATTTAATTTGTGTAATCTCTATAACCTCCTAAATACATTTCAAATGTTTGGTTTCAATAAAACTATCCTTTATCTGTTAATTTCTCTTCCCTAACTCTATACAAGGTTGATCAATTTGACCAACGTCGTAACCACCAAAACAAAATCGAAATAAATCTAAATTACCCTTTTTTCTTTCTAGAATTACATCAGATTGTAACATGAAACTACATTTGTTTATCCTAAGTAATTTTAAACAGTATACATCTATTTATACTTAAATTTTATTGTTATATTGCACATTGAACTGTGTCTAAGTACTATTTGCACTCATTATAAGTTGTAAATCACTTGGGAAATGTGGAGCTCATGTTACACTATCGAATTACATTACCCATGAGCTGCTCACAAGCATGCCTCGTGAAACATTTTTATTATATTATTATCATTTATTTTACCTAATCTAACTTTAACTAACCTAAAGAGATCCATATTTTAACATCTTAGTTACTTTTATAATAATAAAGAATAAACAAAAAATAAAGTACTTACCCGAATCTTCTTTTTTTCTTGCTGCCGATTTTTGAAAACACTTAACCCCATGTTTTTTATACTAATGGTAGTACTGCACTAAAAAACTGCACCAAAGAACAGAGAATAATAAATGCTAAAAGTAGACAATTTCCCCTAAAAATTTTTCTGGTTTTCTAACTATGTGACAAGAATCATTACAAATTCATCCAAGCTAGTTGATATCTTTCCCATGGGAATGAAGCTTGTAATGAAAGTGAAATTGACA